TCAGATTGTGCTGATTTTGGCACAGAGTGGTACCTCTTCTCTTTCTTGATTTTGTCCTCTATGAGTAAGTGGTTTTTTTTTTTTTTTACAACAATCTCGTCCTGTTTGCTAATACAAAGTCAACAACATTGAGACCAAGGTGTGAAGTCAAAATAAAAAGCAAAAGACAATAAAATACCGTAAACATGAGGAGGGGGCTGGAAATTAGGCATAAAAACCCCATTTACAGTACTGTATCCTTTTCTCTAATGCTGCAGGACAGTTACACACTAAAAACGGATCATGAATGGATGTTCTGATTTTTTTGTCACTTTGGTACCCTTTGATACAAAAATGGTAGTCTTTAAAATGGATATGGGCATGCTGTAAGCACGTGCACATCACGTTTTCTTGTTATTGACGTTTTTAAGGCATTTACCACATACTCCCACCAGCAGCCTCCTCCTGCATATTAAGTAACCCACTGTAGCTTCAATATCAGAGGCTGGAACACGGTTTTTACACATTCTTGATGCTGGTTATTTATCTTCAAGGGTAGGAGGGGGAACAAACAGTTCTGCACAGGTGTACGAAGGTTGTGAGCAGGATGCAAACCTGAATGTTTTAACTTTGACACAGCAGGTGAGTACAGCGGTTTCCTCTTAGTGCGGAACATCCCGTCACATACCTGGAGCTACTTCCTCTTCAGAAAAACATCAATATTTACCTGAATACACAGGAGCCTCTAAATCTAAAAAACCCCTTTACCCACAAGGGTGTTTTTCTGTTCTAGTGCCAGTTGTGTGCCAGCCAGTGCCAGCTCTACCACATCTTTATTTATGACTTTTTTTTCTCTTTCTGAATATTTCTTTTCACAGAGAGTACACCTCAGAGATGACATTTTAACAACACACACGCTGCATTCCTGCTGCTGGACAAGAGCTCGACTCCAAAGTAAAGTTTACATTCCTGTGCTGCTGAGAGGAATGTGGCCCACTGGGGCTTTGGACCAGACCTTCAGGATTACAAGTCAGGGATCTCTGAGGAGACTGGGATGCTGAATTACAGGTAAGTTTTGAAGATTTTACCAACTAAGGCTTAATTCTTCTGGCCCTGATAACTTTGTGTTGGGTTACACCACTAAAAACGCCACTTTGACAAAAAAAAAAAAAGATGAGAGAAGAGGTATCACTTTGTCCACAGGGGGCACCAAAACTGACACAAACCAAAAGTTCGTCAAGTGATAAATTAAGTGTCGCTTTTTGGGAGATTTGGCTCTGAAGTTGCAGCTGAAATTGTAAAAATAGGAAAGTGAACTATATTTATGTAGCTCTGTCTCTAGTCTTCTTACCACTTAAAGCACACCAGAAGGGGGATGTGGTCAAGTGTCTTGCCCGAGGACACATCAGCATGTCAGACCTGCAATCGAACCCAATACCTTCTACTGTTGTAGGAAAATGACCAACTCTACACTGAGCCACCTGTATACCAAATTTAGCATGATGAGTTAAATCCTAATGGTTGACTTAGTTGGCTTTCTAGTCTGATTACATATTAATAAATGAGGGTTATTTGACTGTAAATTGTGCGAATTAGAACCTAGAGAGCCCCTCATGGTTGGTGTTACCTACTTTAAAGTGTTCTCAGTGGTCTTTAGATTTTGATTTTGTTTTTTGTTTTTTTTAGCCAAAATCACGTCACCTGTGTCATTTTCAAGGACCTGTCTTCTGCAGAGCTCCAGTAGCTCATTAGGAACTCGCCTTTGAGTCGTGGGTGAAGATAGTGCTGCTCTGCACCCTCGTCTTCACGCTAGCTTGCAGCCTAACAATGCTGGTGCAGCAGAGGTAGCAGGTAATGTACGAGCTATTCAGCTCCTTAACATTTTGTCTTTTAAGACATGATGACAGCTAATATCATCATTAGTTTAATTACGAGCTTTGCAATCGGTTTCTGTGCACACTTGTCTGCCATCATCCTCTCTACTTCTTAGGGTCTGGCACATAGACTGTATATAGAATGGAGGCTGTCTGCCTCCTCGATGGGTGAAGCCACTCTGAGAACAGCACCCTCTGGTGACGGGCTGCAGTATAGGTCATAAATCCCGCCTCCACCAGCAAAGCTTATGGGGCTGTGGACAAACTTAACAAATTTATTAAACAGAACATAAATTTTTTCCCCCTGGCTTGCGATGTTGACATGTAGTTATTGTAGGACTGGTTTGTGCTAGAGTCCTCTTTTTTTCTGTACAACTACGTTTTTAAAGTTATTAGGGGGTCAAGTTTTCTATGATTGACACCTGATACAGCCTATGGGTGTACAAGGATTACATAGCTCACCTGGTTTTCTCATGATATGTTCTCTAGCATCAGAAAAATGCTACATAAACATATAGACAACAAGAAAAGCATGATTTTCATCAGAGTGGGTCTTTAAGAGACATGCTCAAGTTTCTTTAGAAAAAATCTTATCCCTCTGAAGTTTGACAGTCTCATTTCTTATGAATCTTATAGATGGGTTGTGTCATTCATCAGCTGCTTTAGGAATCTATTGGTACATGTTATAGAAGGAGTAAACCGTGGATAATATGGTCTCCATAGAATGGCCAGCCTTTAGAAAGTGAGGGCACCTGCCTTTGTAGATAGAGGTTATTTGAGGTGCTGTTATTCAAAGGAAAGGACAGGAAAGGGAGGAGAAGGAAATTACAGTACCATTCAATTAAAACCACCGCACAGCCACCACTGACAAAACTGAGCTGAAAAATAATGTACTACTCTAATGTTATTACCACTTCATCTGATGATAACTGTGATTAGCTGAACTGCACACCCTGTTTTAATAGAGTTCACTGCCTCAGTCAAGGATACTCTCTGCATGACGGCTGCTGCAGGGCTTGAAACTGAGCAGCTAGTCAGAAGGACACTCTGGGGTTTGATCTAAGTTAATTAACATAGATGGGACAGGAAACCTCTCACTGGGGTAAGATCAAAGCTTTGACAGCCATGCCATGATAAATGTCTGATTGAGTTTAGTGCAGCATGGTTTGAGTCTGTAAAATGTATCATTCTAATAACCTGAATGTGTGTAGAACAGAGAAAGTAAGCAATAAGATACTGTGCATCTATACATCCCTGTACCTTCAGCAATGCTCTCAACATCATATGGGGTTATGTTCACAGCTCTTTGAGGGCTGTGCAGTTCAGCACTGCCTCCTGCTGGCAGTAATAATAACACACTGTTTACAAGCCAACCCAAGTGACAGTTTTCCTTATCTTAGACACACAAAAAGTGGAACCATACACACAGATGTGAAAATTTTAAGCTTATGTGTCAAAAATATCCCTAATAGTTACTGTGAATATTCGATTTTGCAGTATTTTGTTGTTTATGTCTGTACCCTGATTTCTTTGTAGTGTTTACCATTGCACATTTTAGATTACTGAGTGTTGCTACATACACACATTAAAAAGGTCATATTTTTGTTTCATATCCACTGTTATAGGTGACTGTAAATGCTATTTTGCTACACAAAGCCTCATCAAAATGACACTTTCTGCCTAACATTTCATGAAACTTTGGCCCAATTTCTTGAAACTCAACACACGAGCTGAAAAGAGCTCTCTTAAAACTTTTCCTCTAACCAGGGGATCAATATACTCCCTTGAAGAAAGACAACTTCTGCTGATACAAACAACCACTTATGGAGTTATAACTCAATAGAGTAAAATTCAATATTCAAGCTTTTTATTGTCAATTTCTGCCATATGTGAGTGCACGGAAACAGAAAAAGATGTTTCTCTCCAGCCCACGGTGCAGAAATACAGAGAATAATTTGAAAAATACAAAAAAAAAAGTACAAACTATGACTTGCACCGAAGTCCAAAAACTGAACACCACTCGAATTCAGATCAGGTAGGCCGTTCCTCCCAATCGCGCCCTTCCAGGTCTTGCTGTCATTGCCCTTGTGAGCGTTGAAGTCTCCCAGCAGAAAAATGGAGTCCCCAGTAGTGGGCACTGCCTAGATTCGGAGTCCGTCATTTAATCCCGAGCATAGCTGGGCGCGCCCCCGCACTGAACCCGCGCAGAGGGCTCCGCAGCCGACCATTGCAGACAAGAGCTGTCGGAATGACGGGACGTTTGATAGCATGGTAACATACCGCCACTCCGACAATTAGAACCAATGTCGGAATGGCAGGATGTCGGAATGGCGGGATGTCGGAATGGCGGTTGCCCCCCGAAATGGACGCTGTAAGGGAGAGGGACAACGTCATGGGAGAGACAAAAATTGAGAAAAAGAACACCCCAAATATGTCTAGAACTTCAAATGAATTTTCTGCAGTCGATTCTTGGTTGTTTATTAATGTCACAATACCAGCCCTCCTCCTTTATCCGGGCTTGGGACCGGCAAAAATGACCCAATTGGGACAATTTGGCAGAGTTACTGTTTTTTTTCCGCCAGTATTAGGATTTGAAGCTGAAAAGCACTCAGTAATTCCGCGTTTTTTTTCTCCATTTCCTGAAACCAACATTGCGCAGTAGCATTGAACGCCCTTCACCACTTGCGCAGTAGCATTGTACGCATTCGGCGAGAGAGTCGCTGTGATGATGATCGGCTTAAACAGCGTATCCCCCTGGTGAGCTACGCAATCCTTGTACACCCATAGGCTGTATCAGGTGTCAGTCATAGAAAACATGAACCCCCTCATAACCTTTAAAAACAGAGTTGTACAGAAAAAAAAGAGGACTTGAGCACAAACCAGACTTACAATAACTACATGTTAACATCGCAAGCAGGGAGGAGAAAAATGTATGTTCCATTTAATAAATTTCTAAAATTTGTCTACAGCCCTATAAGCTTTGCTGGCGGAGGCAGGACCACCAGAGGGTGCTGTTCTCGTGGTGGCTTCACTCAGCGAGGAGGCGGAGGCGTCCATTCTATATACAGTCTATGTAAACACTCCAGGAAAAAAGCGACTTACCTTTGTGATGAAAAAAATATTAAAGAGGTGAATTTGAAATTCAGATTAAAGTTCCAACTCATTCTATAGATTTTATTACATTTTGCCATCAGTATAAATCACTTCTTTCATTTTAGGTTAAGTACACTCAGGTTAGTTATCCACATGCAAATTGTAGGCAGCTAAATTACAGTATTTAAATACAAATATTTATATATAAGTGATGATCACATCTTATTTTGGTCAAACTGTTATGGCAAATAATCATAACTTACTGTGCTTTACGCCAGGGTTTCAAGTTTGATTTTGGTCAAAGTGTCTCTCAAAGAAATTGTAAAAACTACACCTTTAAAAATCATTCATTTCAAAGCAAAACAGTGGCCTTCATAATGAGGAAGATAGACAGCAGCTGGTGTTGCAACACACAAAAAAAACAATTCAAGATAATGGTCATCGCTGTCAGAGCGGTGTGTCTTCTTGTGCCATGAACTTAAAATGTAAGACTTTTTAGTTTGCTTAGTTGTGTATACCTACTCTTAAAAGATGCTAAAATCGTCCCAGTTGTTCTGTTTTAGGAACTGCAAATGATAAAAGGTCCCCAAAAGTGAAGCTCAAAGATTTACAGCTACCATTGACAGGCAGAACGTGTATTGAAGTAGAAAATTAAAATATGCATCAAATAAATGTTTCTTAGACATAGTTTTTGCATATATTGTTTGTTTTGTCATATGCATTTCTGTCTAAATGTTACTTTCCTGAGAAGCGTTGTCTTTTTTTGTGAGTATAATACAATGACTGACAGCTCTGTTAACAATCTCTTGCAGCCCAGTGTACCATGCATGAGTAGAGTAGGTGAGAAAAAAACACAACATGAACAGTCATTGAACCTTCCATAACTGTGAGTGTCTGCTTAAAACATAGTACGTTTGCATGCACAGTGGTCTCTCTTGGGGGGTTTATCTTGACTACTATCCTTGACCCAGTTTATAAGCGCCGGGCTTGTTCGCCTCTGCTACGGTGGGTGGCAACACTTCACCTCTCAGGGCGTCAGGTACCTCCTGGGTGACGAAGAGGCTAACAGGATGTACACAGAACAATGAAAACACCGTCACTTTTACAGATGAGTACTCTTCATGAGGCGGGAAAGTTACTTTTTTTTTTTAACATTTGTTCTTCGTCTGTTGGGGTTTGTTTATTACCTGGCTTCCTAGCAATGCATCTATCCCAACTATGTTATACAGGTATGATAGTCCGACTGTGAGAAGTTCAATTTAGTTTTCAAAGAGCAGTTTCAGCTGAACTTGGGTAGTAAATGTACTGACTGATACATCAATCTGTAATGCTGTTAGAGTGAAGAGTGTGGATACTGCCAAACTCTACAGTGAAGACTTAACAATAGAATCCGTCACTATATACAGTCAGTGGTTTGATCAAAAATAACCTTGCATGTAAAATCCTGAACAGTTTTTTGCTTTTTACTTCTCTATGCTGATTAAAGCTCTCATGTGGATCAGATAACAAAGACCTTAAACATATAATATAATCAGCAGAATGAATGAAAATAATTAAAACAAAGCAAAAAAAAAAAGGGAACAACTCATACAATAACTTCTCCTTCATCTGTATGGTACACTTTTGTGTGCAATCATTAGTGACATGTCAGGTAATTTATATACAAGTAATCTTTCTGTACAGATTATCTAGCCCCCAAGAAAAACATACCAACTACTTACAGTTACAAAAATTTAGGTGATTAGTTAGAGTGATTGATTATTGGAGTGTTTTGTTTTTACCACAATATTTAAGTGCACAGACTCTTGATTTTACACATTTCAAAAGATAAAACTCTTACAAAATTTTTGATACAGGAGATAAAAGAAAACAAAGTACTATTAAAATGAGCTGAATGCCGTTCATCTGTCCTGTCACTGGCTAAAGCTTGGTTTTGTTCATTCCCTGATTTACTTGTTTAAAGTCTAAATTTGCACAGAGCTACAACAGTTGAAAAAAAAAGCTTTCGCAACCGTTTCATTGCAGTTTAAACCGTTTTTTGTTTGACTTTCAGACCTGGTTAAACAAGCTGGCTAAATACAGGGCGTCCTTCTAACGCTCAGATGTGATCTTAAATTCAAGAACTTTCTCATCAAAGTGAAGTATATCAAAAAGGCAGCATCTAAAAACATTTGTGTATTGCACTGCCTTTTGATTATGACTATAAATAATTCAAATTAAGATGATTAAAATCGAAGAACTACCAGCATTACTTTTGTTTTCACAGGGTAGGAGTGAGCAGTCCTGTCGATTGATGCCCGCGGTCTCAGCGATCTACAGTCTCAATAACTCCTGCCCACCAGTGCGGTGAAGAGAAAGGCGTGGATGCAGAGAGGAAGGATGATGCTTCACCCTTTGTGCTCATGCTGATGAATTAACAGGAGAGGAGGAGGTGGTGGAGGAGGAGGAAGCCCTCAGTTCTTCAGAGCGCCCCAGATGATGACTCCAATAATAACGGCGACTACTGCCAACACTATCATGAGGATGCATATCTTCTTCCGGGAGCTTTGCTGGAAAGAGAGAAACAAGGAGGAAAGAGTCATAAACTTGTATGTATAAGATGCCCTTTTGATACTTTTTTCATCTTTTAAGTAACATCAATGAAAAGTCTGAAAAAAAAAAGCAAAGAAGATTTATATATTGTTTTTTTTTATTGTCTAAAGGTGGTGTATACCTGACAGTCAAAGTTTTTGTCAGAAGACACTACGCAGGTGTGCAGGAGACAAAATGAGCAATATCTGCTTTGTCCACAGGGGGCACCAAATTGCCACAAATCAAAAGTACCTTTAAATAAGTTAACACTGCACAAAATAATAGTATTTTTTATCATGGGAGATGCAGGTCTTCATGTCATGTGCACTACAGTATCTCAGAATGGACAAACTAGATCATCTAACAAATGCAGTATCATACTTATCATGCATCACTGGAACTTGAATCTGAGTGAATCAAGAATTTTTCATCCAAAAAACAAAAACATGAAAAAGTACAATAAGATCCCGGAAAAAATGGGTTCAAGTCGGTGTTAGTTTTCATAGATGGAAAATCCTAACAACAAATTTATGTTTGAAGACTGACGATGAAAGTGTCGGTTTTCTGCTGGACGGGTAAGAAAACTTTTATTATTCAAAGTAGCATTAGTTTAAGTTATCTCAGTGTCCTCTAATTAACTACAATACTCAGAGTTGTCAAGTGATTAGCCACACAATGCTGTTTTGAAAGGGGTACCACAGGTCTCAGCTTTTTTATGTCTTTTCACATGCCATATACTTACAACAATAAGGTGCTGAGGAGACAAAACATTAGGGACAATTTAACAAGATGATCTAGGTTCCTCATTTTACTACAGACAGCTTGCTGCTCACCAAATATATGCCTAAAATCTCATAATATATTATTTTATTTACTCACAGATTTATTTGTGTTTTCTAAACTTACCTATTTTCTTTAAAAAATTGCTTTTTTGGTGTTTTAAGACTCTTTGTCCCTTTGACAGACCCCTTATAAACACAATCTACCCTCTGTATATGTGAGTTAGACTCTCGATTTTACTAAATCTGGTTGTTTTATCGGGATAACTAATCGTTTGATGTGACTCAGAGCTATCAGCTCACCTTGTGAGTCAGCATTCCTCGCCTCCTCCTCTTTGCCTGAATTACCACAGCGAGCTGACTAAGAACCTTTCTTAGTCGAGGGAGTCCTTGCGCAGGAGGTGGAGCAGTCTTTTATGTACGCGTTCACATTTTGATAACCAAACATCTAACTTCTCTTTCCTGTCCTTCACACACTCTTTTTGTATCTGCTGTTCTGTTACTCTACCTGTACGGCGGAGTTTTACCTGGTACTGTGCAGCACGAGCCAGTTGCTGTGTGGCGTTCTGGACGGTCACATCTGCAGTCTCCACGTTGGCCTCTATACTGTCTGCGCAAAGGACAAAAAAACGTGGTTGGAAAACACTGATTCTGCTGCGGTTTTTGGCTCACAGCGGAATCAGAAAATGAGAAACAATTTGATGACCACATGTAGGTGGTCCCTGCATTGACCAATCTGATAACAGGCTGCTAAAGCTCACCAATCATGTCCCCCTGCTCATGTACCATCATCCCCAGGTCCTTGAAGATGTCGTTGATATCTGTGATGTCGCTCTGAAGAATTCAACATAAACATAGGCATTGTGGTGAACTGCATAAACAAGACACGCCGTGGTCATGTGGTCATGTGGTCATGTACTCTACCTCCAGCTGTCTAATGGAGGACTCTCTCTCCTGGATTAGCCTCAGGTCTTCTTCAGTGATCGCCTCAGCCTGAGCCTGCACCTGAGAGTCACTGCAGGAGGAAAAAAATGAGAATTAACACGCAGAAATAATAATCACATGAATTATTCTAACGATTAGAAATAGAAAATATACCCTTGGAAAGGAGAAACATTTCCAAAGCTGTCATCTGGCTGCCCTCCCTGTTAAAAGAAAACAAAGTGATTCAGAGAAACACAGTGTGCTTGTATTTGACAACCTGAACTGACTGTCTGTGGTTGTTTAAAACCTAAAGGGTCCATTTAAGTAGACAGGAGAGAAAGACAAATTTGACTTGTCTTTTAATTCCACGATTTTCAATCACTGCAGTAACAAACTGTTCCTTCTTATCAGCGTAAACAAAAGATACTTGTCTGTGCAGTGAGATAAGCGTCGAGGGGAGAGAGTTACAAAGCAAGCAGACTTTCGAGGACAACTGTGTCTGAAATATTTACTATTAGAGCCTCTGCAGTAATTCGGGAGGTACAGCTTGTAAAGCCTAAGAGAGCTCTTTTGTTAATTTGCAGCCGTGCACGGATGGATAAACTTGTAATAAGCAAAGATATGCTCTCGATTTTAAAGACGGAGATGTTGCCTATTGTAAAATAATCTTCGCAACACCCTGAAATTTCGATTCAGGGCACCGACATCAGCTCTTGTTATTTTGACAGCTCTGTAAAGCGTGTAAATGGGGTGTAAGTCTGTTCATTCAGGTTGATTTGTTTCAGGCAATGTCCTCTTTGAGGTGGAGTCAGGCAAAAGGTTAAATCAGTGCATCATTGCAAAGTTGTATGTGTGACAATATTTGTTTGTTGAAATGACCCCCTTATCTTTTCATGGACTTGACACAGACAAATAAAGTTGCTGCTTACATCGGTGTTCACCTGAATGACTGTTTCATTCAGCGACAGTTCCCCTTAAAGAGAGGTGACATGACCTGCTGCTTTCAAAGATTTTACGAGCTGTGTAGCATCCTCAACTTGTTGAGGACTCATAATGGAGCAGACAAGGATAAACTCAAACTTGAACAGAAGTCTGTTAAGGATGCATCCAGAAAGACCATTAGATGTTAAAGTAACTCAGGCTTTTGGTCAAGATTGTCAGAAATGAGAAGAACAAAGCATACCTGAATATCTAGGCGAAAAAATTTTCACTTTAATGTCTGAAACCACAAATTATTGCCAGAAAATTCAATTTTTTTGGAGCTGAAATGTTTATTTTACTTACTACTAAAAAAAACAAAAAAATCAAAATGTCCTTAAAATTTGACAAATATATATTATCAGACTGTATTCAGGTATTTTTGTTGATCATATTGATTTGATAGAAGTGTCATAAAAGTATGTATCAAATATTATACAAAAGGCAATAAAGGGCTGAAAAATATCGGTGCGAGTATCTTTTAAATCAGTGCATGAATTCTTGAGTTGAGAGTCAGAGTGACCTTCTATTTGACCACAAAAATCAGAACACTTCATTCTGAGGTCTAGATGGATATTTGTGCAAAATTATGAAGACATTCCCTCCTGATATTTCTGGGAAATCACTTTCACAAGAATGGAAGAGTTGGACAAACAACCAGAAAACACAAGACTTCAGGTTTACGACTGCAACTGGTAAAAAGGTGTGTCTGTTTAAGTTCACTGATTTATATGCGTGTTACTTGTCTCTTACTGTGTGATATCCAAACACTGGTCCATTAAATGACCTTTTGTTTCTGTTTCTACAGATTACTCACAGACACTCTGGAGCTGGCTCTCACTCTGGCCACAAACTCTCGCTCTTTGTCTGCCGCCTGCCGCTGGATCTTCTGGAAGCTGTTCAGGGCGGCGGAGAAGTCGTTCAGCAGACGCTCTTTCTGTATCTTCCTCTGCCGCTAAAAAAAAACACAAATTAATCAAACACTGTGGTACTAGATTAGCAGGACAACAGAAGAACAGGTCTGGTTTATATACCTGGTCGGGGCCAACAGGGAGTGCAGTGAATGCCTTGATCAGTTTGTCGGTCTCCTTTGCGAGTTGGTTACCTTGCTGTTGTTTCTGTTGCCTGAGAGGATGATTGTTTTATTTGGTGAGTGGAAACTTTTGCCAGACATTAAGAACACAGACTGCTGAGCAGGTATTTGATGGACCCAGGTTTAATTCAAGCCTGCTTTTAGATGATAAGCGATTGATTTGTTCTGTTGACAACACTGGCTCTGGGTTGTATTTGCTTTAAATGGAAGATCAGACTCAGATCGATCATTCAAGAGATTTCTCACACGAATTGTTCCACTTTTTTTTTACTCTTTTCTTTCATCATGTTTGTGAATAAACTCAACTCATTGATAACTCACAGAGTCTGTCGGAGCTGGCTGCTGTCCTGCTCAGTTCCCAGCAGAGAAACCGCCCTTTGGAGCTCAGAAGCTGGGGAGGAAGAAAGACAACGGAGATTATTCATCATCTCTACTGTAAGGTCTACAGGTGTCAGCTGTGATTCACAATCTTGAGTCACTGAAGTGGGTGTACGCTGGTATGTTTGTGTGTAGTGTGTGTATTACTCAGCAGCGTGAGCTTCTGGATGTTGGAGCTGATACTTTGAACCAAAGCACCGGGCTCCTGAGGGATCCCAGCCTGGTACGCCATGACAGAGAGCTGCGAGGGAAAACAACAATACAATACATCACTTAATATGCATGAGTCATGTTGAGAATTTTCACACCCACATTCACATACATGACATTATTCATATATGATAAGTTTGGGAATCAGAAAACAAGCTCTTCTTCACTCCTCAGTCAGTCCAGTATTTGAAAGTCTCTAAAGGTTTCCGGGTTTGCCTCAATTTCACATCACCACAAAGTTGGGACTCGTGCTCTAATCTCGGTGAGAACCAGCACATCAGCAGGTTATCAGGAGGTGGACCCATGACATCTTGTGGATGCTTAAAAGGGAGTTCTAGCCCCTGTACCGACCCAGCAAACCAGAAATGAGGAAAGAGCTGCGGGTAAGAGGACAGCGGCAGATTTAGGGCAAGACGCACGCTTACAAGTGGACTTGTCCCAACCAGTTAGGTGTCTTTGATGTAGGGCTGGGCGATATGGGAAAGGTTTATCACGATATATTTTTTTCATATCAGTCGATATCAATATACATCACGATATATGAAAAATTTAATGTAACAGTGCTTATTGGTAGCATGACTTTTGCAATACAATAAGCTACTGCATCTGTGAGGGCTTTGTGCCTCTTTGTGGTAAGGCGTTGTGCTAGAGAACGAGAACTGAATGGCTGGCTGTTACGGCTGCACAGACGCCATGGGCTCCTTGCTCCACTCGGGGTTTGTAACCTTTTGCATTGCGCTTGCTCTCCCGCATGGCACTGCTTCAGGTGATGAAAAAGATTTTAGGTATTCCCAGACTTTGCGAGAACATGTCTGCTTCATGCCCAACTTCAAAAACCCAAAATGCCTCCACACCATCAATTTTTTCATGACACCATCTGTTGAGCCTTCATCTTCATTTCTGCCGGGGGTAGCACTCATTTTCTTTTTTTTCTCACTGACAGTGCTGTTGGCGTCATGTTTTAAAGTGCCATGGTTGCGTGTAGCTGCAGCCTGCTACTACGCAGTTGTTTGCTACTTGGTTCTAATTCAGCACATTATTGGTTCAGCGCGAGGCAACTCCCCTTTTTATTTCTATAGTCCACCAAAACATGGCAGAATGCCAGCTATCAAGAAGCATATTGACCGTGTTTAATATTAATATTGAGAGAAATTAATTTTCGATATTTCGTTTTATCACCCTTCCTTGTCTCAATATTACTGTCTTAATAAAGACTCATAATAATAATGGTTAGTTTTAACCCCGCACTGCACACACCTATGATTGAAATGTGACAGCAAGAGCTTACTAGGAAACATTTCACCCTCACATGTTGGATCAACATCTTATTCCAAAAAGCTTGAAGTTAATCTGCAGATAAAAGTGCCTCAGAGCCGCTTTGCACAACATTTTTAAAGCCGGCTGCAAGGATTTTAGGCCACAAAAACAATAGAAAAGTCAGTCGCTGGAGCTGGTTAATAAGGCCTGGTTCACAGTTTGTGTTCCTTTTTAACCCTGAGGTGTTAAACAAAGTCGAATTCAAAGCTCAGAAAAGATAAAGCTTTTTTCATCTTCAAACTGTTGACTCAAACCCTGATTTACATCCAGGGAACAGTGAACCACAGAGAATTTAAGAAGTCAACTCAGTGGGAAAAATAATCAGGATGGCCAAATATACAATATTTACATAAATGTGTTTTAATGGAAAGCAAACCAGATTTTTTTTTTTTTTATATGACAGATTGAAGTTAAAAACAAAAGTAATATCTCAGAGCTCAGCGGTCCTCTCCTCAAACAGCTCTCATTTTCACTTCATCAACAACAGTTTAAAAACAAAATTTGGGAGCAGAGGAAGTTGTTGCTACACGTTCTGCACCAAAAGGCAGATGAAGAGAGGAGAGCAGAGAGAGGGGCAGGAGGAGGCAGATGTGTATTTCTGTGTGTGTGTCTAAAAACTGAGGGGCAGAATAATAGTACATGCGCATTAAATGACTGCCAGGCTAAAAAGGGAGACATTATTCAGACTCATAATAAAATACAAGCTCCAATGATATATAAAAAGGTTGAAAAGACGTAGTAAAAGAGCTCAAATCCTTCTATTTGCGACAGTGTAAAAATATTTAGTTTCAAGTGAAAATGAGGAATTAAAGGGATATTCCGGCGTGAAATTAATTTAGTGTCCGTAACTCCGAGTTAGACACCCGCTCGAGAGATGAATGTTGCCGACCGCTTGCTTCTCTAGTTTTACCAACTTAAGTAAAACTAGAGAAGCAGTCCGCAATGGACTGGCCCGAGGTCTCGCTACAAACAAGCAGCTGCTGGAAGAGTGTGGGTAAGTTGTGTTAAGTCCCTTTTTTTAAAAGAAATTAGGCAAAGTTAAAAAGATATTTGGTGGCTAGTACTGTGGCTGGGACCCTATATGTACTGTTGATGAAGTTAGGTGCTGTTCTGAGCATTATTTGTGGCTATAGAGTGGTGTTTTGGTTGAGGCTTGTGTGCGGCTCCTCAGACTGCTGTGTATTGCTATCATGCGGTCGTTACTAAAGTTGGTATAACTAGAGAAGCAAGCGGTCGGCAACATTCATCTCTCAAGGGGTTGTCTAACTCTGTGTTATGGAGTGTTTGGCGCTAGATTAAATTTACGCCGCAATATCCCTTTAATTTTAAGGGTTTTAAGTTAGATAAATGCATGTAATTGCTTTTACAAATCATGACATCAATATCAATCAAAATAATCGTGGTTATGTTTTTTCATTGCTTAGGTGTCCCATGGTCCCTAAAACTGAGGGAAAACTGAAGAAAAAAAAAAGAAAAAGGAAAAAAAAAACACTGGAAATGACTTGATCTCATGGGAATCTCCTTAATTGAAATAGGTCAGCTTAGAGCTACCATGGTAATAATTGTTTGCTTTACTGATGTCGGGTTTATGAAGCCTAATATGAAGCAGGGTTGGGTCAGATGTGATTATTGCGGGTTAGTCATGTAGACTTCCTGAACATCTGACTCAAGAGGACTGAAACCAGGACCAGTATGCAGAAGACCATCTGCTAAGAAACTCTCAAACTGATCCAGCACACCTGATTTCACATGATTTCAGAGTCAAACACACTTTTATGACGACTTCTATAACTTCACTTCTCCACATTAAAACAGTATAAACAGTATGACTCTTGTCTTTCCGTGTATGTGAGTGTTTGTCCCTTTAACTCCCTTCAGAGACGGTAAAATGCGGAAATCACGGCCGCTGTTTAGAAACAAGAAAGTCTACTCAAGACGCAACTGTTAACGTGTGAGTTTTTAACTGGGTTAAAGTTGTTTTATGCAAACTTTCCTCCACCAAAGACGCCAACATACTAACAGAGGCAGACTGAAGCATAAGTACGCTTTAGTCTGCTCGTTCAAGGAGAACAAATCACTTTTATTCTTTATACATTATATATAAAGCGGCAACATGAACTAACATTTGTCAGATTAGAGTGTCCGAAGTGTAAATCCTTCCTAAATGCAGAGAACAGTTTAGTAAAAGTTAAAACTTTACCTTTCTAGTAAGTCTTGGCAGCTGTGTATTTCCGCACTTTCGGCCACGCCCCCGTCACATGACGTCTGCGGCCGTTTGGCGCTGTCGTCCTGGGTTGAGTTTGTGTCAATAAAAGGAGCTGATTAATATGAACTTTAATCATCATATAGCTTATTACTAGGTCTCATTTACTCTTTCATTTTTTTTATAATGATATTTTTATATTAAAATTAAAAAGTGCCAGTAAGGTTAATAGTTTTTGCTCAATATTTACACAATATTGTACAAATAAAATAAATAATATAAATATTACAATTATATTACATATATATTATATTATAAAATTATATTACAATTAATATAAATAAATATAATGATGATAAAATTAGATTCATCATAGTTATGAAAGTATAAGAGTACAAACTAAGGTATAATCAAAATACAGGGAAAAGAAATATAGAACACAAACATACACAAATAATAATGGCAATAATACAACAACATCAAGTTAACATAATTATATAAAAAGTGAAAATGGAAAAAAAGGAAAAAAGCATATAGAATTTGCATTACAAATGTGTGTGTGTATATATATATATATATAGCAAACAAACAATAATGAATAAAATACATCCAAACAAAAGATTCAGGTAAAAAAGAAGTGATGAATCACCATTGTGAGTAAGGAATAAGGAAACACCAGAGGTATGAGTAAAATGTAAACATTTTAATCAGGCGATCAGAGTAATAAAGTAATATAAGGATAAGAAATAAATCAGTAAAACCGACTGAAATTTGAATAAGTAAATAGTAGAAGTGAGAATTGCTGTACTTTATTAATAAGGACTTATGCTATCTTAAACTATTGTTCTGGTATTGCAATTCATCAATTCATGATGGTGACAAAAGTTAATCAATCAACTAACCTAATTAACTGTTTGGATGAGTCGTTCTGTTACGCATCAAAGCGTTACAGCTATACCATAACTTGTAATAAAAAAACATACTTTGCTCATCCATCTACCACAAGAACTTTTGTCAGTTACTTCACCTTGCTCTGATTTCCTCTATTATTTGGATGTTCAGTGCTTGAAAAGTTACTAAGAACTATTTACATTTGTTTGACAAGTAAACATATCAACAGGGCCAAGAGTACCACTGAGGATACTGGGTCATGTTGTGGATATTTTATGGGATCTAGGAGAGCTGCTTATCTATTCTGCACAACTACAGGGCTCATCTGAATAGATTTTATAAAGGGGGATTCACATATAGAAGACCTTTTACAAACTGAATTGAGTCAGTTTAAATAAATTAATCAAATTAAGTGAATAATGTGTGGAACAAAGTCAAATTCATAACATGCTGCTGAGTCTTGCTTTTGAAAACTACTAAAAACAAATTACATAACTAGTCATGAATAACTTGGCCGTTGCTCTGTTTATCAGTCTTTATGAAAGAGACTCGAACTCCTTCACATGTTTGAAAAAGCAGCACTGCTGTTGGTTGTCCTGAAGACGCATAGTTCTGAACGTGATTGGTCAAATAAGTGGAGCAAGAGTAGTTTAGGTAACAAATGTCTGTTTTTTATTGGACATCCAGTAGAATTCTGGCTGCCCACAATGTTTGCATGTCAAGGTTCAAACTGGGTAACCAGAGCTAATCGACTGCAGCTCTTCATAATCAAGCCTTTTATAGAAATTTGTTAAATATTGATTCCAACACTAACAGTATGTCAGGATCCTGTTTATTTCAAGTTAGCAAATGGGACCAATGAAATCAAATGTTAAACTGTTTGCCAAAAAAGCACAGACCATAAAGATACAGGACAGAGCATCAGCTGATCTTGACATTACTTCGTCTTAACTGACCTTTTGTTCTGTCACTGATGTATTTGACAATTAAAGTCACATGGGACAAAGGATAACCTGAGAGGCAGTTGAGTTCACAGACTGGGTTTTTTTTGAATCTGTGACCATTTTTCGGAGGCAGCTGGCACACGGACAAAGTAGTCACTTAACAGTTGGATGTCCTGCAGATCGAGTTCATCTTAGTTTACCTGCAGGGCAAAGATCATATCAGTAAAGAACAAATCTTGAGGTTTAAGAGAGTCAGCTATTGCAGCATAAAGATTAGAAATAATCAAATTAAATTACATTTAATTGATCGTCATGTTGTATTTAGAAAATGTATTTTGGCAGGATTACATGAAATGCAGACTCTGGTTTATCTGAATGAAACGGTCACAATGTTACTGTATTTTAAAGGAATAAGTAAATAAAAAATACATATAAAAATGAATAAATAAATAAATAAATGAGTGATGAGACCAGATGAGATGGTTGAACGAATTGAGATTACACAAATTGAGATAGGATGTGATGAGATAAGATGATCAGAGTTAACATGAGGTTAAATAAGACTGAGTTAAGTTTAGATGAGTTGATATGAGATTAGTTTAGATGAATTGCAATGAGATTAGCGATTTGAGTTGATGAAATGAAATGAGATGAGATTAAATTAGAGCCAATGAACTCGGTTGAGTTGGGTTAAACTGAGATCAGTTGAGTTGATTTAGGATGAGATGAGATGAGATATAATGACATGAGAAGAAGTGAGATGATTTGAATTGAAATAAGATAATATTCAAAGGCTTAAAGATGTATTTTTATTTAAGCTTGAATGCTTTATCCAGTTTTGAACCCGTTACTTTTGCAGACCACTTTATAACGGATACTGATGCCGTTGCAGAATCAATAATTGTCCTCAGGAGTGTTCCCTGCACCCTGAGAGACCTCAGACTTCTCAGCAGATGCGGTCTACTCCAGAGTGAGTTAATGTTGTCAGTCCTGGTTTATGTTTAGGTGAACACCCAGGTATTGACACGAGTCCACAACCTCAATGTCCTTTCCCAGCACGAGGAAGGGATGAGTCTAAATCTGTGAAAATTTACCACCAGTTCCCTTGATTTTGCTGTTAATCTGAAGGTGTTTCACAGACTTATGGTTCAGTTCTCATCAAGTTAAGTCATCTTTATTCATGAAGCATCTTTAAAAAACTCACATTAGCCAAGGAGAGAGAAACAGTGACACAAAACAGACCTCTAACCTAGACAATAATAACCATAAACAGAAAATATGAAAGTAAGAAATTAAGAGCAAAGATCAAATCAAGGATGAAGAAATGATCACTGATGGGGAGGACAATGGCAGAGTCATTTTAGATGTCAGTTTGTTGTGTGGTGAGAGAAATCTGCAGTGTGGAGGTACATTAAAGCTCAGACTCACAATTCATACTGGATTCATTTGAGTGTCAGTGCTTTTGATTTCAGTCTGACCTGCTCTGAAATGGCTTTAACTTTGCTTGTTGTTTGTGACACAGTATGAAGAACTTCAGTATCATCGGGTGGATGATGTTAAAGGTCTGCTCAGGACTCATCTGGTAACTATTTGATGATGCTCTTGTGTGTTTAATAGTCAGGCTTTATTCTTCTGAGTACACAAACAGAGTTTAAAGCTTTGTTTACTGACATTATCTAATCAATATGCCAGAGCAACAGTCACATGGCCTAACTTGTGTCTCTGCTTTTCTTCATGTGGGTCAAAATGTTTTAATCTGCGGGGGTATATAAGGCAGCTCTTCATCCAGAGACATCGCACTTGACGCCACTCTCTATCTGCAGTCCAAGCTCCTCAGCCATGCTGCGTCAAACAGTCCTCGGCCTTCTGCTTGCATGTGCAGTGTCTTTCAGCAGATGCTCTCCCTTTGGTGATGGTGGCATGCTCATCTTGTGGGCGCAGACAGCCAGCCAAATAAGTGAGTTCCCCGCTCAAGATGGTGTCGTGACGCCAAACCCCTGGCATTTCTACAGTCGCATGAGTCTTTACCGGCTGGTGATTGGTGCTACAGACAAGTATATGGGAACCATGGGAACAGGTAACACTGACAGTCCTCTGTGGGGACTGCCCCTGCAGCTTGGATGGATGTTGAATTCAGGTAAGATGAAATTTTTTCTCAAAATCTAAGTACAAGTTGATACCAGTCATTTTGGAGCGTGATGCTTTTGGAATCAAAATCAACCTTTAAAGCAAGTTTGTCGACATGTTTGATTTAGGAAAATATTCTTGCCTTTGAAAATTATTTTCCAACCTCTACTTCGAGTCTCTTAGGAAAACATGCTCCTCTTTAGTTTGACTGATTAAATCAAACATATTCAGAGTACCAAAAAGTCCAGAAACAAGCCGACGGCATTGTCAATGTCTCAACTCTGCAGGGCGTCTCGGTGACCCTTCTGGTGCTTCTACCTGTGGCCTGGATACAGGCGATACTACGTGTATTTCTACTGAGAGCTGGTGGGCCTGTAAGTACAGTACTCACAATAGTATTATGAAAAGTATAGTGTTGGTCTGCCTAATATTAAACCTGAACTGAGACAATTCGCAGCTATTTACGTTCCATTTAATGGACCTAAAACACACATTAAAACCCATCTCCTCATCCAGGTGAGAACTACTTTGTCTCAGTGCTGCCTTTCCTCTCTGCTGCACAAAATGGAATCTTGGGAGATGGACTTCAGGTACGTCAGCAAAGAGTCTGCAGCTAGTTTAGATGCTGCCACACTTAAACTTACTACTGAAAGATGACTGACATAAGCCCCCCTAGACCTAGGTCTTCAGACAGTGTCAGGAGTTGGACATTATATAAGTTCCTGTGGACTTTTGGCCATACTCTTACATCAGCATATTAACTTACTCACAGGACAGTGCAAGTATGATGTTTACTGTGTGAAAGTCTTTGGATGTGAACTGTTTGCCTGACAACAGAAACGGAGGATTAGGACTACATTGAAAAAGAGCTTTGGAGAACAAAGTCGTAATTTTGCGAGTTTTAAGATGTACAAAAAAGCTGTAAATCTGCAAGAATAAAGGCATACATTAGCATTGTTAATAATAAATAAAAAAGATGTCACTGTTACGAAAGCAAAGTCATTATGTAATGGGAGTAAAGTCGTTATGTTATGAGACTAAAGTCTGTCAGGAGAAAGAAGTTATTTTAGGCAACGATTAGCATAGATGTTACAGCTGTTATGAAGCCTGAACTTCTACAGCGAGAGGCTCCATGATGATCTTCAGAAAAACCTTGAAGAGAAAACCTTTTACCAACTTTATGTTCTCCCAACTTTAGTCGGGTAACATTACAAATTCATTCTCATAATCTTAACTAGCGAACAAGTTTATGAGATTTAGGTCGTTATTTTGCAAGGACAAGTTGTGAGAGAAAAAAGATGCAAATTAACATGATGGAATTTTTCAGGAATAAAGCCTCAAAAAGAAAACACAAAAGTTCGCCACAGTTTAAGGGATTTAAGCGGTTATTTTACAAGAATTGAAGATGTGAAAGAAAAAGAAATTATCAGATTCTAACACTTAACTCCCTGCATTTTGGTGAATTTTACATAGCATTTAATTTTAAAAGTCGCAACATTTGATCTGTTATTTTTCACATAGTCAATTTAAAACTGAGATATTAAATGTTACATGGAAACATTGATTTAACATCCAGATCAAAAATACTGCATGCCGGCTAAATAATACTGTAAAATGAGGCTTTACACAGAAAGTGCATTACACACAATCCGTTGAGAAGGCACTTTTTTACATTTTAGCTATTGTAAGGGCCAGCATTAGGGCTCTGTTTTACATTTTGTATTCTGGAAAGGCATCCAGAAGAAACCTTTTTATGTTTGACTACGGGGCATCAACAAAGCCTCATTATATTTTTATTTTATATTCTATACGGACATCCAGGGGGATTTATTTTTTAACTATTTTTACATTCTTTATACGGTGGGAGGGCATGTACAGGGGACTGAGCAGTTGATTTCAGAGCCTTTTAGCCGGGATGTCTTAAATATCTGGTGTTTGAAAAAAAATGACTGTAATTATTGTTGATTTTGACGTTATTAGGTCCGGATGCAGGTACCTGAAGGTGTTACAAACTACTGCACAACATATGCAGAGTGTGCAGCTGCCTTCCCTGATGCCATGGCTAAGTGGGACCAATTTTTCCAGGTAGATAAACTCCGTTTCACACTAATGCAATGGTTATCACTTGAGACGTCGTATAATTTCTATTCTCTTTGTTTGTGATAAAGGGTCTTAAGGCTTCAGTAGATTCTCCTCTTCCTGATGCTGAGAAGAGAGACGCTATCCTCGGTCTCTACTGGGAAGCCCACATGGCTTCAACTTATGCATCTGCTGCTTGCGATGCCAAGTAACTATCAACCTGTCTATAAAAAGTGTAAATCTAGATGGCTAACTTTTTTTAGATTCTGTTTTTTGACTTTTTGAAGCCTTCTCCTGTGAACTGCAGTTGATTTTACTAATACCAACGCCATATTGATTCTGCTTATATATCCAATCCATTATCAAGGGGGCTTTGACCAATCAGAATCAAGTATTTAACACAGCTGTGTGATTGGTAGGGAAGTCAGTAAACAAAGGAAGATAATGTTGAAGGCTCAAACTACTGATTCCCATAACAAGTGTTGATTTTGGCGCACCCTTGTGGACAAAATCAGTACATTTTCTGTCTTTGCTGTCCTCAACACTTCGAAGTGGTGTTTACTGATAAAAAAATCAACCAGTGTGAATCTCTGCATTTCTTATAATGTTGAGCAAAGCCTTTGACCTCTGTGATCTTCGTCTTTCTCTCCTCTCCCTCAAGGAAGACCCATTACTCTGCCCAAGAGGTTTCATTTTCCCAGAGCTGGGTGAACTCAGCCGAGTTTGTTTCTGCGGCACGTTTCCAATCTAGTCTGGACAATGCCTCCAAGTTCATAACCCCTTTGCCAAGCCGAATCTTAAAAGTACAATTCCCTCAGAAGTGTATTTTCAAGCAACATTTAAAAAAATCTGTTATACTGTTATACTTTATACCCTGTGTCATACTTGTACTTCAAGGATGGTGATGTTGCCCCTGACATCGCTGACCTGTCTACAGAGGAGAACAACTCATTACAGGTCTTTGCCAGGATCGATAGTATCAACGCATCGATGGGTAAGACAGTCACACACAGAACATGAGCATTATAAACTTTAAATGTTAATCCAAGTTTGATCATGATTTTGCTGTTCACCAGGTGGGACGTTAGTGACAATGTGGAAAAGATCCATGTGCTCTGTGCAAGCAAGACTGAAAGGAGCTGAATTGCTGGAGCAGATGTTGCTGAGTCCGGCCTCTAGTCCCGTCACTATTGTGTCTATGGGTGCTGCAATTGCTATGACCTGCTGAGCGATGCAAACACACTAACATGGACAAGCAGTCTTATAGATGTATTTCATTTTTCAACTGAGACAGAAAAGGAGTAAATTGATCAAAACAAGATTTTAATTATTTGTTGCAAAAAACCTGATACATCATGTTATCTTTAAGACAATTGGGAAGTTAAAGTTTTTGTTTTAAATATGTGTGTTTGAATTGAGAGATTTAGCTGTCATAATAAAACACTATCAAACACCACACAAATTCTGGTTTATTAATGATGACCCAATTCAGGAACAGCTCCAATGCAATCTTACAGCGCCTCCCAGTGGTAATGAGCTCTAAAACAAGATGAGAGCGAGACAGACCATGAAATATGTTCAGTGTTCACTGTGGGAAAGTGTTATTAACAGATCTCGATCTCTACAAGAGTTTGAGCTGAAAACCAAAAATGACAATCAAGAATGCCAGACCTTGAAATAAATAAAGGAGGAAGTAAGTGGTGCAGTCTTTTCAAATAACACAAAATGTCTTAATAGTCACTAAGGAAAACCACAATAACACATTTTGGATGTTACAAAATGAAACCGAATGAAGAAAAATATGAAATACACCATAAACGTTCTGTTATATTCTGGCTGCACTGTTTCTGTAGCAGCACTGAGCTGACTCTACAGTAACTAAATACAACTGGGTCTTCGACAAGGTGAATATTGACAGAGTGGTCAGGGCAATGATCCTGTTGTGTAAAGTAAAAGGTCAATGGGTTTACTTCCACTTCAAAAACTGGAGGCTGTGACACTAAAGAAGTAGGCTCTATTTGAAGTTCATATGTAACTCTGATATCATGGCTTATAAACAAAGAACTTCAACATTTTGGAATAAGAAAAAGTTGTACTCACTTGGCCAATTAGTAGCCTCTAATTCTGAATCAGGGAGCATAAATCAGCCAGGTTTAACCAAAACTGCTGAAGCGTGGGGTTCCTCAGGGTTCAGTATCAGGGTCTTTGGGATTTTATTTTGCACAGTACTTCATATTAATTTTATCTTTTAATTACTGTTGATCAATAAAGCTCCTGTGAGGAACTTTTTGTTAAGTGTCAGTTTTGGTGCCCCTTGTGGACAGAGCGACATAACCTTATTTTGTCCTCTAAAAGTTTAAACAGTGTATTCTGACAATGAAATAATCACCTTTTGTTAATGTTTAATGTCAAAAATGTGAAAAAATAAATAAATAAATTAATTAATAAATATAAAGAAAAAATATTATAATTAAAAATTATTATTATTATAATTAAAAATCATTATTCATTTAATTAAAAATATAATAATAATAATTATAATAATAATAATAATTATTATTATTATTATTATTATTACTATTTTTGCCTCTTGTACCAGTGTCAGACATTTGAAATCGGACTATAAAACTTAGCAACCCGTCATTTATTTTTTTATTTTGCTTCTATGTCATAATAGGCAGAAGCATGAATTTTAACCTATTTCATACAGGTAAAAAAAAAATTACTAATGTTTTTTTTTTTTTTTTTTAAATTAGAAAACCTTTGAAAGGGTAAACTTATCAAACACTTAAAACCAAACAAATATCTAAATAAAAACTGATACATAGTCAGAGGACTATGCATCTTCCTCTTAACCCCCCAAATAACTCCCCAAAATATAAAAACTACAACAAGACATTAATTCTTGTATTGGATGTATTTGTCCATATCAAAGAGTAGTTTTGATTCAGATTCAATCTGATGAATTGGGACATCTACTGCCACATGGAAGCCCTTTACACAAGAACAACAAGCTTTAAAGCCAAAGGTGATTCAACAGACTGTGGTTTAAAGTCCTTAACCTGTTCAATTTCTTTATTAAGGTTACACAAAGAAATAGACGAACAGAGTCTGTGCAATTATATTCAGAGAGATTTGTGTCTTTTCCTTGTTTTATATGGGTTGATCATTCCTTTAGCTGAGCACGTGATATTGAGAGTCACATGGAAAAGCTCTTCAAATACACTGTTATGAGTCAAATGTACACACACCATCCCCGGATTTTTGATCTCTGTGACCCTCTTTCAGAGATAGTGGGCAAACAGGACATGGTTACTGAACAACTGCTTTCCTGTCCATTGACCAGCATCATACAGATACCATCCATCTGCAGGGTTTTAAAGAAGTGGGTTATGTTCAGGGTCATGGGATATAAATGAAGACTGATCCTTTTTATGTAACTTACAGGTTTTATCATAAACCTTACAAGTTTCTTCAACCCAAAGCACGTAACAGAAGAAAAAGGTTGAAATTTAAGGGTTTTCTTGTCTTCCAAGTCTGCTTCCATCAAATTGGGTGAGCAACAACATCGAACAGGAACAGGAACACAAGGGAGCAACACACCAAACATGGAACAGAAAATACAAATGAAGGAAAAACATAAAAACCAAAAGAATAAATCATGACAATAATTTACACTGGGCTCTCAGTAGTCATTAAACAATAGTCTTAGTCTTACTGTCCTAGACCCCTGAGTTTACCATTTACTCCCAGACAGGTCAGATTGACCACTGTCACCCAAAAGGGGGCAGGGCAACAGTTAAAAGGTTAAGTTTCCTGGTACTGCTTTTATTAGGGTCACGGGGCAAACGCACCAAGGCTACTGTGGATTTTTTTCTTTATATACATTTTTTTCTTTGTATATATTATATAAATAAATAGTTAAAAAAGAAATGTTTGTCGCGGGTGTGCTCATCTTCCTCATAATGTACACAGACTGGCAGTAGCGCCCGTGGCCCTATCAAATTTCTTTGAAGGAAATTTCTATTTTCTGTTATTTTTTACATTTTTGTCTGTGCTTTTAGCACATCTTATTGCTGCTATGATTATATTCTTGGATTTGTGATACTTAGTGAAGCACTTTGACATTTCGTACTTGCACTGGGCCAATATGGGAAGTGTTGCCTACAAGGGGTGGGAGAAAAAATTGATACAGCGTAGTATCACGATATTTTGTCTGGTGATATATTGTAGTGTCTCATTTTCAAATTAATTGTTAATATTAACTCAAGTCTTAAATAAAATCAACTGTCCAATGACACAAGTTAACTTTGCTGCCAGGAAGACTTTGGAGAGGTTTTTGCTACTGTAAGGAATTATTACAGAAACAAATTAACAAATGAGTTGGTTTGATTAAAAAAAAAAAAAAAAAAAAAAATATATATATATATATATATATATATATATATATATTTGAAGAAAAAAATATTATTATATATTTAAAAATATAATTATTAAAAATATCATCATTAATATTCTTAAAAATTATAACAATATTATTATTAATAATAATACTATGACTACTAATATTAATTATTAAAATTATTATTATTGTTAAAATCATTAAAACTATTATTTTAAAAAATAAATAAATAAATAATAATAATAATAATAATAATAATAATAATTATTATTATTATTATTATTATTATTGTTTGTCCAATGAGGTTGGCAGAGGTGACATCATAGAGTAGAAGAAAGTTCGTGCAACAAATATATATATGTGTGTATAAGGTTTGCAAGATGTACTACATGAAAATAAAATACAGCGTAAATAAGACAAACATAAAGGAAAGAAAAATGCTTGATTAGCTAAAAAGTTTAAAAAATGTATAAATTGCAATATATTGTATCGTAATATTGATTGTATTGCAAAATGTAAAAAATCACAATAATATTGTATCGTGGCTCAAGTATTGTGATATATCTTGTCATGGGGCCACTAGTGATTTCCACCCCTACTGCCAATGTTTCAGTTGTAAGGGGGTGTCCAAGATGATGATCTGCAGAGTTTTTCTCTTCAGTAGAACATGGTACTTTATGATGGAGAGTATGTATGCACTCCAAAAGGCCAACATTCAAACACTTGAAGGAAAAGCATAATCAAAAATTTTGCTGAAGCAATCCAGTGGAAATAAAGTTGATTGTAAGCGGTCAGTGTCATCTTGCATGGGGATTTTTTGGACCCCCAAATTGTCTGCCACATGTCAGAGGTTTCGAGGTCTATGTAAATACTCTATACATTATCTTATCTGTCATGAGGGTTCACTGAGCAAGGTTTCAAAAGACAACATCAACATGTGTCACTTTGAACGTGTGTTTCTCGTGTTTTTCAGAACATGTGTAGGTGTTCCGACCATATATAAGCCTTGCATGTGACCAATCTCATACCAGAAGAGACACTCTTTCCTCAGCCTCCCTCTGTGGTCTCAGCTCCTCAGCCATGCTGCGCCTAAAGCTCCTCTGCCTCCTCTTGGCATGTGCAGTGTCTCTCACTGGCGCCACTGTACTTCTGGAAAATGGTATACCCCTCCTGTGGGGGCAAACTGCAGGGTCAGTATCTGATCTGCCCACAGATGGTCAAGCTTTGATCCCCAGTCCCTTCAACTACCTTCATAGGTTGAGTTTTAGCCGGCTGCTGATTGATACAACAACCCCCTTCATGTCATCAATGGGACCTTCTGTCACTGACAGTCCACTGTGGGCAATGGCACTGCAGCTTGTTTGGATGCACTCTTCAGGTAAGATGAAAACAATTCTCATGAGCGATGATTTTGAGATTCAAAGATTCTGCTTTCCTGTGAGCCTCATAGAAATATCTAGAACATTCTCATCCCCTGATGTCTAAAATACAGTAAACATACCATGAAATACAAAAGGTCCAAACTGATAACATCATGTGCAATTTCTTGATTCTGCAGGGCGTCTCGCTGACCCAACGGGTGTGACACTATGTGGCAAGCAAACTGGAGATACTAACTGTGTCGCTCCTGATAGCTGGTGGGCCTGTAAGTAGGACTAGCACACTATAATATTACTAAAATGTTGCATTACTTAACTGTAATATTTAACATTAAATGCCATTTTCATACTTTATTTCATTCAGTTAATATTCAAAACATTCAATACAAACAAGGAAAAATCTCAAACATGTGAATGAAGAAAACTCTTATGGAGTCTGCCCCTCTTGTATATTAATCAACTAAACATAATAATAAAAATAAACAATGGCTGCAGGCCAACGTGCCTTTTTACAGTTCACTATTTCTTATTTTTAAAAACAAAACAAACATACCAAGACTTAGATTAACATATTTCCTCGTATTTACTCAACATACTGGCTTTGACACTTTTTTTTAAGATAAAATTTGATTTAGCTTCTTTAGTTTCTTCGTTCAGATTGTTCCACAAACTTATTCCTCTCGCTGTAATGCAGCGCTCTTTCAGTTTAGTTCTGAATCTTGGCTTTTTAAATATTCCAATATATTTAAATATTAACTATTAACTGTAATATTCCCGATTTTGTATTCTAATTTTGAATTTTACTGTAAAATCAATAGAGACACAATAAATTACAGTAAAATATATACAGTAATTAACTGTGAAATAACTCTGAAAGTATTGCAACTAGGAGCTGGTAATTTACTGTACGAAAAGATGAACACGCTTACACTTTTAAAGAGATATCAACACACACTGACCGCAGTGAAATCCTTCCTTCTTCTCCACTTTAGGTGTGAACTACTTTTTCTCAGCGCTGCCCTTCCTGTCTGCTGCACAGCAAGGCTTCATGGGAGAGGGAGCTCAGGTACATATGGCGCCCCTGAAATGAAAGTGAAACTTATTTCTGTAGTCATGTGACCAGTTTGCTTAGGCTGTACTTAGGCACATTAGGACTCTAGTACACACTGTTGGATTTTAGGCGTAATGCAAAATGTCAGTACACTGGGTTTGCAGTGGATATGTGCAGATAATGTATCTACTGCTAATCTTATGGCAAATACAGACCTTACTGAGAGCTCAGATAATGATTGGCGATTCATTTCAAAACATCAGGTGAAGTATACAGTGCCTGACGGAGTAACAGACTACTGCACCACATATGCTGACTGTTCAGCCCAATACCCTGACGCCATGGCCAAATGGGACGCTTTTTTTCAGGTAAATTCCTCTCATACAAACACACATAAAAAATAACTTTACGGAGGTTAAGTTTAAAATTAAAATTGTTCAACTTGTAACAATCTCCCCCATGCAACTTCAGGGTCTCATCGCAACAACTGCTTCTGTACTTCCTGAGGAGGAGAAAAAAGACGTTATTCTTGGTCTCTTCTGGTCGGCCCAAATGGCTTCAATCCAGTCATCTACTATATGCAACGGCAGGTAATGTATCGATGAACTTGTCACGTTTATGGGTAAAACAAAAAGGGAAGGACCCAAAATGCAGAACATTTGATTTATTTGAAAGGAACTAAAAGAAAGAAAAACAAAAAAACTTACTTTAAAAATGTCCAACTCAAAAATCCAAAATCTTGACCGATTTGAGTAGGTCATTCGGGTACTTTTGCACACTCAATTTTCGCATACTATCCATACTTTTTTCCATTTTGAGTTGAGTATACTCAAAATTTTAAGTATTTAGTATAGAAGTATGCAATTTGGGACACACCTTAAGACTATATATACACACAGGGAAACGAGCAACGAGAGGCAGGTGAGACACAGAGACACAGGTGCAGACAACTACAGAGGAGGGAAAACTGAGGAAGTAAAACGAGACTAGAAACACGGGGAATAAATACTACAAAATAAAACAGGAAACACTGAAAACTGATAATAGAGAATGAAACACTAAGAACACGAGGGAAACATGGTCAGACACAAACTAAAAACTCACAAGACAAGACTACAGGGGAACAGAAATAGTAGGGAACAGAAACCTTGTCCCAGTTTAGAAGCACTGGACAAACAACGGATTACTAACAGAAGCACATATGCCTCCATCATTGGCCTGTTACCAATCTTAAAGCTCAGCAAGACTAAACATTTTTGTTCCAATTCTCTGTTGATCATAAATTATCACTTTCTTTTGCTTTTTAAAAAATGTTTTGGTCTTGTGATTGTCTTCCTTCCCATTAGGAAGAGCCACTACTCCAGTAAAGAGGTGGCATTTGCCGAAAGCTGGCTGTTTATATTTGATTACCTCTCAGCGGTATATTTCCAGTCCAACTTGGAAGACTCTAATAAGTTCATAAGCCCTCTGCCAAGTCGAGTTTTAGAGGTACCAAATCTATTTGTTATTATCTAATAGATGAGTTTAAATCTCTTTATCTATATTTCATTGATGACTCATCGAGGTTTTGCTCTGTCTGTGATTCTCAAAAGGAGTCGGACAATCCACCCAAAGTTCCTGATCTGAGTGATGAGGAGAACCACACGCTGTACGTCTTCTCCTGGATGAATAGCATCAACAGTATAATGGGTGAGAAAGACACAAACACAAACGTGTGTGTTTTGTTACATAGATTTTTTTTTCTTATCACGATCATTTTGTCGTTTAGGTGGGACTTTGGTGCAGGCCTGGAAACAGTCCATGTGTTCAGCAGATCTCAGAGCCAAAGGCAGAGACATGATGGTGCAGCTCATGCTGAACCCGGCATTCCCCACTAGCTCTTTTGTGGCTGTCGTCTCTGGGATGGCTTTATCGTGCTGAGACAAACACAAACACACAAACACAGAAACACACACAAAGAAGATTTGAGAAAGAAAAAGACAGCCATGTTATTTCCGTTTTGTCCTTTCTCATCAGCGGGCTAAATACAAGTGCAAAAGTCGAGTGATTTGGCTATTCATGTGCATTAAAATAAATGAGTTTTTATATTATCACTCAGTCGTGGTTATGTAAACCGACACTGAGAAATGTATTCCTGTATGTAGCGTGAATTCATGTTCCTATAGACTTTTTTGTGGTTTTTGTGGTAACTGAAAATAAAACTGTGACCACATAATATCCTGTCTTTGAATTATTTCTTAATGAGTTAGTATCATGTTACTATAATGACCGAGTATCAAGGTCAGTCTCAACCAATTTAGTGTCCTGAGCAAGATTATAGCGAGGGCCCCTTTGTATTGGACCCACTTACACCAGCGATCACAATATTCACACACTTGAAGAAAACTGGCACATAGCTTCATTTTTTATAGATTTAAAGAAAATAACATCAAGTGATGGTCACAGACACCCACTGAGCAATAGACGGCTATTAGACGTCTAGTTTTTTTTAGACCTAGTTTCAACCGTCTAGATTCTGTATATTTTCAGACGGAATTTAGACGTTGCACTTTTAGATATATATATATTTTTTTAAACAAGAAAAAGGCAAAGTCACAGCAGCACATCATTAATTTGACATTTTTCAGGGTTAATTTTATGTATATACCATTAATATATGGACCAATTTAAGAAATTTCATGCTACTTTGTATCATACTGAAAAGCTCTACTCTGGTCCAATCATGCACCCTAGTGGTCATTTGATGAAATTACTAACCTACCCTGAATTGACAAGAAGCCAATCAAACAATAATTAAGAATGTTTAATATTGTGTTAAAAGAAGTTTAAACATTAACTCTAAAAGCTTTCATAAAGTATCTATGTGAGGTTTGACACAATACATTAATTAAACAGCTTCACATTTGTAAAAGCTACAAATGAAACCTAAATGATGGCTTGTTTACCCGCTATCAATCCTCGCCATTATAAGAGTCAGTCTCTGAGTCTTGCATGAGAAGAAACGAAAGTGAGAAACCAGACATGCAAAAAGATGTATGTAAAAGTCTTTATTTTATCACAAAAACATAACATTTACTTTTACAAAAACACATCACACGTTTTGAATCACCATAGCTGATGGCATCAAATGAGAATTAAATGCAAAACATTTTTTAAAGGAAGATAAAAAGGGTCATTAAACAAACGTAACAAAAGCACAATAAAAAACCTCTGCATATTATTATTATTCTTATTATTAACAACATGTACTGTTTCTATGCTAGTTCATGATTGTCAGTGGAAAGACAATATCAGATACAAACTCCCAATTAAAAAGACAAATGCAGTTTCTGGTATCCTGTCAGGACTCCCACTGAGGGGCATCTAGAGCTGTAAATCTTGACTTTTTCTTCTATTCATTGTCGATCTTGTATTTAAAGAGCACTGACATACTGAGGCAGAGTTAAATTAAGTAGAATGGGTTATTTTTTTATGGGTTTACAGTTAACACACATGGTAAATGTCCTAAATTTACTCTGGTTTATTCTATGACTGTATGAAAAACCTGCGACAACATCCAGACAGGACTGAACATTAAATACTGTTTATTCAGGACGTGTTATTATCCTCCACCCTGCTGCTCTCAAACAGTCATGTATAAAGGGCTGATAATAAACACACAGCACTTTTTTTTGAATTTACAGGAATGGTTTCAAGACTGGGGAGGCGCGAACGAGGTGACTTGTTACTGATTAGCAAAATGATCTGGATCGCTTAAAGGGATATTCCGGCGTAAATTAAGTTAGGGTCAAACACGCCGTAACACTGGGTTAGACACCACGTCGAGAGTTGAATGTTGCTGACCGCTTGCTTCTCTACTTATACCAACTTTAGTATCAACCGCATGATAGCAATACAGAGAACCACACACTCAACCAAAACGCCGCTCTATAGCCACAAATAATACTCAGAACAGCACCTAACTTCATCAACAGGACATATAGGGTCCCAGCAATAGTACTAGCCATCAAACATCTTTTTAACTTTGCCTGATTTCTTACGAAAAGAGATGAAACACAACTCACCATCTCTCTTCCAGCAGCCGCTTGTTTTTAGTGAGACCTCGGGCCAGTCCATTTAATTTCCATAAAGAAATTATCATAAATGTTCTTCCTTGAGCTGCATCACCCTGCAGTAGTCTGTAATGGACTGGCCCAAGGTCTCGCTACAAACAAGTGGCTGCTGGAAGAGAGATGGTGAGTTGTGTTTCATCTCTTTTCGTAAGAAATTAGGCAAAGCTAAAAAGATGTTTGGTGGCTAGTACTATGGCTGAGACCCTATATGTCCTGTTGATGAAGTTAGGTGCTGTTCTGAGCATTATTTGTGGCTATAGAGTGGCGTTTTGGTTGAGGGGGTGTCTAACTCAGTATTACGGTGTGTTTGACCCTTACTTAATTTTACACCAGAATATCCCTTTAATTTGAAAAACACTTAGTTTTCTCCAGTGTCATTTTAGAGCTCCCTAACTTTTACCACTTAGCCAAATGATCTGGATCGCTTAAATGAGCGCCCATCACTCTCAGTATCTACGCTGAGGTACCTGAAAAAGACAGAGGATCCGGTCCCTTTTCTAACAGGGTAAGACGGATCACAGACAACCGGAGTAAGAGGACACCACCCTTGTGGATTTGACATAATCCATCGATCTTAATGGATACAGTGTTTGGATTAAATCTCTTGGATTGTGGGAATGTTCCTATATTTTCCTTTTGAACAGAATCAACAGTTTACGTCTGTGTTAATGGATTAATATTTAACAATACAGCCATTTTATCAGCATTGGGGAGTTATTACAAATACAATTAGGAACTGCTGATCCACATTAGACCATGATCTTGACACTAACATTAGACCAATCTATACAGTGGAAGAAATGTTGGTTCTTTGTTGTGTCAAATTTAGCACCATAGTAACCTGAAAATACACAAAAAACAGATGTGTTTTTTTTCTCCAACAGAAATGATATTCCATCTGTTTTACTGCTTTGCATCCCCTCAGCAGTGGATATAACTTTCACCAAGCTTGACAAAACCTGTGAATTATAGCGTAACTAGTGGAGTCCGCGCTGATATAAAACAGGAATGTCACTGTAGAGCGTAAACACAGGAGAGGAGGAGGAGGAGGGACGGGAGGAGACGTTTAAACAAACCTCAGTCAAAACCACTTTAGGTTCCCGTGGCTGTGCAGCTCCGCTCCTCAAACTCAAATTAATTTCAATCAGGAAAAAAATCTGTGTGTTTGGTTTAAGTTAGCGTGTGTTTCACGAACGTACGCGCTACACAGTGTTGGCCGTTACGAATGTTGCTTTGGCGTTTTTGCCGTCAGCTGAGTGGTGAGGTAGAGAAATGACTGGATGGCAGGCCGGCTGTAAGACAACGCTGTTTGCATCTGGAGTTTAGCTCAGCTGTACGAGAGGTCAAACAACTGCCCTGAGCCTGCTAATGCACTGGAGTGTGTGTGTGTGTGTGTGTGTGTGTGTGAATGAGTGTGTGCATCTGTGTGGGTCAAACAGTTAATCTGTAGGTAGAAGTTTGTGATATATCCTCGTGTTTGTCGGTCGGAGTTATGCTTCTCCGTACGCCGAGGCTTTGTCTTTTAACATGTCCAGACACAAGTGACAGCTCCAGCTCCCTGTGGAGACAAAGAGGGACGCAGAGAGGGTGAAATCCTTGTCCTCTTTGCTTTTCACCATATATAGTCTTTGCTTACAGAACATACAGAACATGAGTGTGACAGTACATGTGCAGCGTAATCCCCCTGATCCCCGGTTAAAACTACAAGAGCAGTACCTTCAGGAGGTTGGGTCATCGGAGGCTTCAGGCAGTACATGTGGTATCCTCTGTCGCAGTCGTCACAGAACAACAGCTGGTCCTGCATTAAAAGAAGAAAAAACATCTTAAAAACATAAAATATGTAGAATATGTGCAGAGGGCAGAAAATACATGCGCCTGAAAGAAATTTGCCGACTTTTGACGGTCAAATGTGTCTTTTAAAGCGAATATTTTACATGGAAGGAAAAACATAAAAGGACAGTTTTACTTTTTTAGAGTTTTCTCACAAAGTATTCTCAATAAATCACACATTTAACCATCAAAAATCAGCAGAATGATGTTTTTTGGTCCTAAAATACTACTTCATTAAGCATGTAAAGGACCAGATAAGTCAAGGCTGATCTGTCCAGAGAGGGCGCCAAAATCGACACTAACCGAGTTTTCACACACATCCAAGTAGGAGTCGAAACATATTGGATAAGCAGTTAAGATTTCAATGTGTGAAATTTTTGCATTTAAAATGTCCTAAACAGAAATGTGTGACCCTGAAGTTACAAGCTAAAGTTAAAAGAGAAAGTTTTGGTCGATATCTGCAACAAAAAGTGACACATACTTGAACAAGAGTGTCCAAAACGCTGCCACATTTATCACGATACATTCATACAGAACTAGGAATTCACCCAAACCTACATCATTTATCCAAATTTGCTAAATTTTTGTCACGCTTCTTTAGAAAAACAGATGTCAGAGTTAATCTAGGAATTGCAGAAGCAACTAAACTCATTGTAATGCATTAGCTGTGACTCCTCTCTCCTAGTTTACCAATATATGTAAGGCTGCATGTTTGCTTACGTCGTTCTCTGAGGTGCCACACAGGCTGCAGGATTTGCACTCTATGCACTGCCACTGGTACGTCCTCACTGCCTGCATCATGTTGTCAGTGAACTGCAGACATGTGGGGTGACCTGTAGGGAGAGGTGAGAAAGCATAAACTTCATCAGTAACACTAAAACAGCAGCTAATGTAACAATAGCTGGATACTATCTCACTCTTGCTGGTTCCCTGTCTTCATGATAAAAGTCTCACAGCTATTATCAGTGTCAGTAAAAGCCTCTTCAGAGCTTCACAGCTCTCTCTGTGTCTCATCCGCACGCTAATTGGTTTCATCCTGATATCAGTGAGACATCAATGAGCCACAATGAGTTCAATTCAAAGATGAACTGATTTATATCTGCTGGGAAAGCTGCCAGAAACACTCAAACTTTATCAGCCCGTGATGAGTGAACAAAGACGTAAACATGACTGGAGGGAAATTTAGTGCAGAAGTGTTATGGTAGGAAAAAATGAGGAAATGAGCTGTGGCAGTTCGGGAAGGTAAAGATACGGCTCAAAAGAAGGCAGGATATAACCACGGCCTGAAAAGGATGGGACTAGTCAGGCTGGTTTTTCTTTCTTGGTTATAGAAATCCTACCTATGGCTTCAGGGATTAAAGAGATATTCCAGTTAGGGTTAAACACTCCGAGTTAGACACCCCCTCGAGAAATGATTGTTGCCAACCACTTGCTTCTCTAGTTATACCAACTTTAGTAACGACCGCACGATAGCAATACACAACAAACCTGAACCAAAAAGCCACTCTATAGCCACAAATAATGCTCAGAACAGCAGCTAACTTCATCAACAGTACATATAGGGTCCCAGCCATAGTACTAGCCACCAAACATCTTTTTAACTTTGCCTAATTTCTTTAGCAAAGAGACTAAACACAGCTCACCGTCTCTCCTCCAGCAGCCGTTTGTTTGTATGGAGCCCTCAGGGCGAGTCCATTACTGCAGCGGGGTGACGCAGCTCAAGGAAGAACATTTATGATCATTTCTTCATGGAAATGCAATCAGACTGAAACGCTAAGGCAGAAGAACTACCACGTCTGCAGTGCAAAATGATTAATATGGTGATTATTACTTCAAGGAAATGATAAAGAAACAATCATAAATGTTCTTTCTTGAGCTGCGTCACCCCGCAGCAGTCGTGATGGACTGGCCCGAGTCCTCTGTACAAACAAGCGGCTGCTGGAAGAGAGTGGGTGAGTTGTGTTTAGTCTCTTTGCTAAAGAAATTAGGAAAAGTTAAAAAGATGTTTGGTGGCTAGTACTATGGCTGGGACCCTGTATGTCCTGTTGATGAAGTTAGGTGCTGTTCTGAGCCTTATTTGTGGCTATAAAGTGGTGTTTTTGGTTGAGCGCATGGCTCCCTGTATTGCTATCATGCGGTCGTTACTGAAGTTTGTATAACTAGAGAAGTAAGCGGTTGGGGTGTCTAACTCGGTGTTATGGTGTGTTTGACCCTAACTTAATTTTACGCCGGAATATCCCTTTAAGAAAGAATTACTTTTACGTTGGCACCAACAAAGACCATGAATCTTTGACCTTCCATGTTGTGGATAACAGAGACTCACCAGAGCGTCCACAGTCAGAGCAGGACACCAGCTCCTCAGCCTGGCCCGTCTTTCTGTTTGAGTCCTGGTCTCCCAGGCAGAAGTCACAGTAGTCGTTGGGGATAATTGTGCCATCTGGGCCCTTCTGAGCTGTCATACAAAGAGACCAGCTGTCAATCATCTTTTCCTGAAGCGTTGTCATCCTATGTGATTAAATGATCTTACGTTTATGGTTGTCGGAGCAACGTGGAGGAGACAGAGACATCTCCGTCTCCTTCTCCTCCTCCTCACCCTCCTCTTCTGCCAGGTGAGTGTGGGTGTAGTGGTAACTCAAGCCTGGGCGGTTTTTGTAGCGCTTTCCACAGACTAAAGATAAAACACCACAGGGTGATTAGAGGAGTGCAATCCCCTGTGAAATAAACAGCAGTGGAGCTATAATAAGGGAAGAAAAAGAGTCTTAAACTTTGTCTCACAATTCAGTAGCAAAAAACGATTAAACACAGTTATTTTAAGGGGTGTTTGTTGAATGAAATGCCACCTATGTGATGCACGTACAGTAAAAACTGAAAAAACAAAGAGAGAAAGAGGTGTTTTGGTGAAATACATACAACCAAGAAGCTATTTTAAAGAAACAGGATAGATATCTAATGTTGTGTACACAGGGAGGGACACATGTTTAAGTATCGGCTTACAACTATCGGTCTAGAAACAGCTTGACAGGCGCCTTTTCGCTGCTCTGTGAAGCCATGAAGTCGAAACTCAAAGATATAAAGAGGATCGGTTTGGAAACATGTTGTAAACTAATTATAGGGAAACTAGGATCTACAGTCTACCATTGTCGAAGCTCCTGGGGTTTTTCCACTATCACACTAGAGCTGTAGCCATCATAGAAGTCTCTTTTTGTTGTGTTTTTCTTTTTTTTTTCCAGCTGCTTTCTTCTCCAAATCTGCAGCCATTCCTCTGTAACCAGATTAGCATATTTTACCACAAAGCTCCTCCACGTCCTTGTTAACTTGCTGCCAATCCGACCACACGGTTAAAAATGGACCCATGTGAAATTTTCAAGAAACGCCATCCGCTGCGAAGGCTTCTACAATGGCTACATCTGCGGATCACATCACTGCTAGTTAGGCCTTGAGAAACATGCATCATCCAGTGCGACAGCAGCTGCTACACGAGCATTATCGATGCATGCCTTGCAATGAGCAAGCATGAAGGCACATGGCGTAGCGTTAGTGTCATGCAAAATGCTTGCACTGATGCCCGGACTAGCAGAAAAGCATTTAAAGCAGCAGATATCGTTTTAAGATTAGCAGTCAGTCAGCCATTCCCACACCAGATGCCCATGAGCAAAAAGGCCGATCATAAAAGACAGTTCACGGTTGCCGCTAAGGAAGACAAGATGGCGACAGTTTCATATACCTTCTTCAGCCTTTTTTGAGTTATGCTTTTGTTTGTATCTATCTGGAACAGAGAAGACACAAAAGCAAACAATAAAGGAAAGACAGAACAAGACACAAAAATGAGGATGAGATTCATTTGTTGGAGCGAGGCCGTCTCCGTCCACACACCCCCCCCCAAGCCCGAGGGATTCTGCCCAAGTACGCGAGAGGCATGCTAGTCAGGTCTGCGTTAACAGCAAACCCTTTCTTCATGCTGCAGAGGGCGGGCTCTCAGAAACAGAAGAAGTAGGGACTATCATTGGAGGATGTGAAAATATAACCAGTCTAGTTTGGATTATGAAACCTAAAATTCGAAAAACAGTATCCTTAGATTCTTTTTCTGTATTTCCTCTGGATTTAGAAAACAGTATGAATCTGGACTAAGTTAGACTAACTAAACTGTGATCACATGATTCACAAAGAGTTATCCGTCTATTTCTCTTACTGTCACAGACGTAGGGTTTGTCCTGGTCGTCCAAGTTAACAGGTTCTGTCCTTCTGCGACTGGATCCTCTGTTCTAAAAAGGAAACAAACACATATGTATGAGACATTTTATCTCTATTATTTATGGGGCTTTTGTTTTGTTACTCGCACAGTCACCACAAGGGGCACTTCAGGTAAATGCTACAAAGGGAAGAGCACATGGTTTTTAACGGTAATCTCTTGCACCACTCTCACCCTCATCAAGAACATCACCATTGACGTATCTGTCTTTTTTGTTTGCTTTTCATTCAATCAATAAATGGCAAAAATATAACTCAACAATAACCTTAGATTGGACATTTGATTGCACATGAAGCGTGTCAAAAACACCTCACTCCCGCACCCTGACAGTGACTAAAATTCAGGTCAGCATAGTCACTACAACATATGTGATACTTTTAACCTGTTTAGACATTTCACAACAAATCTGCGATAACAGCAACATGTGACTTCTTAATTTTATGAAGTTTACTGATGGATTTATGTCAAAAACGAGGTTCACGTACCCTAAGATGTGGCTAAAAAGTCGATATAATGCTCCTTGAATTGTGAAAAGATGCTGTAAAATCAGTGTGACTCCTCCATGTCATCAATTTTGCATCGTCTAAACAACGTTACAATCCTTTTTTACCCCATAAATAGAAACACTTGGACACTCACTTTGCCTCTGTTTCTGTTCTTTCTCTTTGGAGTATCCAGCTCAAAGTCTTCGTCATCGTGGAAACCGTCCCCGTTTTCCTCCGCCTCCAGAACTCTCTACGGAGCGCAGTCGCACATATAGAAAGAGTGGGAGTTATAGAAGATGCTGAGGATTACGAGATACATCAGCTTCATATACATATGCACAAACCCCTAAAAACTTCCCCTAAATTCTCAGAAGGGGCTGCAAACAGCTGAGATTTTCACCCTGACCTTATCAGTAAAAGTTTGGCGTAAAATCAGAGTGAGCTCTAGAGTGAGGAGGGTTGATAATGTTTAAAGTAGGGGAGACCAGGGCTTGTTGTCACATGGGTAAGTTGTCACATTGCAATTATCTTTGCCACCAGAGGGCGCAACTAAAAAGTGGAATACTAGTTTTATTCCTTTAGTCAGGGGTCATATACTGTCTGAGAAGAGAAGAGCACATTGTGAGCTGAGATGAGCGCTGATAAACCATTTTGCACAGCCCAAAGTAAAAAAAAATTAACTATATATTTTAAAATAAGCTTCGTCCAGATAAAAATCCCCCCAGTGACACATGTGGTCATTGTTCTGATTTAAACTAACTTTAAGATACACCTAGAATTAGCAGTTGTTTTGTTAATATAAGTGCTTTATCAATATATTTACTTATTTTTTATACCAAATCGCTGCTTTTGAGCCTTCTGAACATTTCTCAGTAACATTAACCTCAGTAATATTCCACGGTTTTATCATGAATCAAACTCGGACCAGAAAAGCGGTTTCAACTACCCATGGTGGGGCAACACGTCACATGTTCACACTCTCGCTTTGATTGGTTATAACTCTGCGGTTCACATCATGTTTATATATGATGTATGGATTCCATGAAATATACGAGAGTAAAAAGTGTGACAACAAGCCCCGGTCTCCCCTAAGTGACCTGTGCAGAGCTGAAATCGTGCAAAGGGAGGTTTTTGTTCTCTGTAAAATCTACTCTGTAGCCTTTCACGGTATGCTTTTGATGTTATGTTCTGCCCCCTTTGGGACCCCCTCCCTAGAAATGTCTAAGACTGCACACATGAAAAAGGTGATGGTTAAGACTTGGAGCATTTCACCCTCTCTCACTATTTTATGACAATTTATCCACCTTAGTAAACGAACGGCACTGTGCCTTTTTCACTCACCTGAATTTCCAGTAATGTCTCCTCCTCTTTTGGGATGCAGGTTTTTTTCTCCAGCAGGCTGTCCCCCCTCAAGAGGGCCTCCAAGGCTGTGGCCTCTCCTGACGGGACCTCACGCTTGGGGGCTAGCTCGGCTTCTAAAGAGGCAGAGGCGAAAAGAAACAAGAGAAAGACGACAGGTGTGTGTAAACTGATGTCCTTACTAACAATGTTACCCTCTTTGCTGACTCTTCAGAGGGGTACCAGTGTCTGTGTGGGTGCTGCAAGAGTTTGCATGATCAAGATCCAAATCAACCAAGCCTAAAATGCAGCAGCTTCTAAATAAAAGATGACAATGTTTGCTCCTGAATGAAAAAAAACAAGCTTTCTTTCTGGCCTTGACTTCATCATCCTCCCTCTCCCTTTTTTCATTTCCCTGGAGATGAAGTTGCAGCGGCTCTGACTCCGCCCACATCTTTGAACGCTAACACCAGGATAAAGACAGAATGAAAGCGGGGATGTGATAAGAAAGGCGGGGAAGGAGCGGAGGTGTTGTTATTGCCTCTGTGTCTCATTTTTCCTCATCCCAATCCCTAAACCTGCCACCATCTCCACCCCACCCCCCAATAACCAATATATTATGTCTCCTCTCTTTCCTGCTCAGCCCCTTCTTCCTCTCCTTCACTAAAATTCCCATTTCTCTCTTCTCTCACCCATCCTCATTCCCCTTCCTGACCTCTTCACCTCTCTCTTAAGTCTCCAGGGCAATGAGGTGAGACTATAGAGCTGAATTTTCTCGTTGGCTGGAAAAAGCAGCAACACCATCCTTCAGCTCACACCTCAAACACACTCAAACATCCATATATGAGAATCCAGTGACTGATAGATTACCAGGGACATGTTCAATCATGTCCACAGCTGAGTGTCAGTTTAATTATTCTACTTTGGATGTTAAGGGTTCGAAGAGGAGAGTTTTTAAGAGACAGAGTGGTCTAGAGGAAGATGCTAGGAAGTTTACAACCCACATGGTTAATGGCTTTACCCGTACAAGGAATTTTAGACCAGGACAAAATGCAACTTTGCAAAAAAAAGAGATCCTACGGTGCAAAGATGAAACACTTGTGCAACCAAAAGGCTTAAATTAGGTTGAAAGATATGAATAAAGTAAGCATGTTAAACTCAAGAGCTTCAATCTACTAAAATGTAAAAAGAAAGGGCCTGTGTCCACTAACCGCATTATTATTTCCTTTATTTTTGCACTGGTAGTCCCTCCAACCCCAACTTAAAGGGCCTCATCTGGGTTTTTGAAACACTTAGGTCCTGATCTACTAAAGGTTTGTGTGTGAAAAAACACATGCAAACTTGATAGCGCACACAAACCTGATCTACTAACCGGGTGCACCGAGGATTGCGTCTGTCAAATGAGCAAAACAGCGCGTGCAACACGCCCACTAATAGCATGTGCAATTTTTTAGTTTGCACTCGCGATTTAGCGCTCGCTATTTGGGATCTTAGTAGATCGGGCCCTTAATATGTTTTAGATTTGCTTCGACTTGAAAGAAAACACTCGATAGAAATCATATGATAGAAATAGCAGCTGCTCTGAACCTCAGAACAACAAAAGTCGTTCATTTCCTCCTGTGTGCTGCTGTCAGAGGCCCTTTATTGATTTTGATTGGTCAGTTACCAGAGATATGACACTAACAGGGGGTCATGTAACTAAATGTGAACTATGGCATCAGAATAACCTCACCTAGGATGCTAATCACTGAATATGCCGAACTTCTGTGAATCTGTTTAGCAAAAAGGTGCTGCTGGCACAAAAATGCTTGTAATGTGCACAGGCCCTTAACCTTTAATACACGTTTATTTCAGGTTTTTCTGTCTTTAGTAAGGAAGAGTAGGAAATGACATCTTCATCTTTACTTGTAAGAAGACTCGATAGAAACCATGTAATAGAATCAGCAGCTGCTCTGGACCTCAAAACAACAAGAGTCATTCACTTCCTCCTGTGTGCCGCTGTCAGAGGCCCTTTGTTGATTTTGATTGGTCAGTTACCAGAGATATGACACTAACAGGGGGTCAGGAGGTAACTAAATGTGAACTATGGCATCAGAATAGCCTCACCTATAAAAATGGCAAACTACTGTGAATCTGTTTAGCAAATAGGTCTGCTGGCACAAAAATGCTTGTAGTGTGCACAGGCCCTTATCTTTTAATGTAAGTTTATTCCAGGTTTTTCTGTCTTTATTAAGAAAACAGGAAAGTGGACAAACCTTTACTTGCATTGTTAATGTAAGAAATAACAAAAATTTCACACATATGGAATCAAAATGGCAGCTGAGTTTAACTTCCAGTTCGAGCTGCGACATGAAAAAAAAAGTAGAAGATCCACCAAACAGGGAATTCAGCTGTAGTTTGAAACCATGTCAAAGTAACCCTGTGACAGAGTCTCTGCGTATCTTCACTCAAAGAGACAAACCTCTCTGCTCAGGAAGTATTAAATAAACATAAAGCATTTCCAAGAGCACTGAAATGGGAGCGCTCACATTCCTCTGTCGTGTTATGATAGATATCTGGGCCAAACTGCAGAACTAAATCCCTGAAAAACAAACTTCTCTTTCACCCTCCGTTACAAAAGCCTCTCCTGCTTCTCTTGGTATATTTCTAGTTTTTCTTCCAATATGAGGGGCTTAGGTTGGTTGGATTTTTGCAGCTCCTCTTTCTTTTCCCCTTTTAAAACGACTCCGTCCTCTCCTTAGAGCCGAAACGGTTCTTGGTAGAAAATCTCTGGAGTATTAAATTGCGTCTGGAAGACAGTGAGAGGGAAACAATAGTGTGGAAAAGCCGAAACAAAGGCCTGCTTTTATTTCTCCCCCTTATCAGGTTCCTGGGGCATTCCTTTTGCTAAAATCCCCTAAAACATACACACACACAAGCACACACCAAACACACACATGCATGGATGCACACAGGCATACAAAAAAGCACACACTTCCACATCATAAGACTCACTTACATTCTAATGCCTCATGGACAAATGATTATAGAGGCCCAGTAAGGGTGCTTCTGGTGCTGCAATGGAGAGTCATGTGTGGGGGTGTTTGTGCATTTTGCATGTGCGTGCATGTGTGTGTATGTGTGTGTGTGTACTGCCAGAGAACAGTGAGAGGAGGCATTGATTCAGGGGAGAGAATGAACCTGGAGACCTGGCGAGAGAGACGGGCTAACCAGAGCCAGATGGTCAGATAGGGAGCACTAAGGCCACTGAGCACACCTCGAAGCTCTGTGCAGACACACACAAGGCAACAACATGCATGCATTCATATTAAGTCAGTGTGAGGAAAAAGTGGTCGGGTGCACCGGTAAAAGTGCGCTTTGTTGGATAAACCATTGGTCTTCGCTCTGCATGCAAATAAATGTGCGATATGACTTTATGTGTGTTTTTTTGTGCGTGTAAATGTATGTTTGCCTTACCTAGTCGAAGCTCACACAGGCGGAGCTGTGGATCCAGGGGAGGGTGGAGTCGCCTCTTCTTTCTCCAGCAGCGAGCAGGGTATGTGTACATCTGTCCCGCCGCCTGGCCTGGACACACACATACACACACACACACACATGCACACAGAAACGCGTATTGATGTGGACGTACACACATGCAGAGAAAGAGGCACACAGGAAGAATTTTAACAACCACTGGCAGGCTTACAATTTGAACAAAACTTGCATTGAGACCTTGACCTCACACACAGACTCACACAGACACACACACAGTTGACTGGTCTTGTTTTCCAGATACTTAATATGTCCCTATTTTAGCACTCAAGCCAAGGTTCATGTTTAAAACAAAATTCTGCTTTCTCGCTCGATTCCAAGAAACTGTTTGTCGCAAAAAGCTGAATTTCAGACCGTGTTTATGTTCCCTAAGTGTCGGTAGATGTCTAGATGATTTTATCAGCTGTACTCTGAGTAGATAAATCTATTTTAACTGTAAATGTTTTTATAAACTTGACCTAAATATGCTTGTCTTTGCTTATATTAGATCGTAATTCTGCAATAGCTCAGGAGATCAAAATGGAGAACAGGAGAGAAGGAGGGGGAGGGGGGACAAACCTAGAATAAATGCATATAATGTGAGTTAGGTCTGCCACAAAGTATAGGGTGTGGCCTGAAGGGCTTAGCATACAAGATGGAGCGAAGGCTATTTGTGTCCGTCTCTCTGTAGAAAGCAGATTGTTCCCTTTGGCTGTACAGGCGACCCAGATGTGCAGGAAGCATCCTGACATCTCGTCTCAGGGAAATCCAGCAAGTGGGTCGACTTTTTATGTACGATGACGAGAGATGCGTGAGCTCACCTTTTTAACCTCCTGCAACATTTATGCGTTTCTGCTTCTGTTCGTATCTGCATAAGACGTTCAATACCAACAAGACAGATGTTTTACAATCCGCTAGAGATGAGGTTTTGGACAGGTAACAGCTTGAGTGTTAATATGCTAAGTTATCAAAGCATTAAAGGGATATTCCAGCGTAAAATTAACTTAGGGTCAAACACGCCATAACACAGAGTTAGACACCCCGTCGAGAGATGAATGTTGCTGACCGCTTGCTTGTTCTGACTCAGTCTATCTGTCTTATCTAGTATTATCTGGTATCCGTATTTCAATATATCTAAAACCAAAAAATATGCACCAAAGTTTGAAAAAGGCTGCTAATTAAAATTATTCAATGTTCAAATTAGTACCTCTAATACAAATACACTCACTAAACTTTAGTTTTTACCTGTCAGCCAGTCTGACTCTGTCCAAAGGTGAAATAATCGACTTATAAACACCTCTTATAACACTTAAAAACATTTGACCTTTTCATGAATTAATGGTGTCTGTCTACTGTATATGGCTCACCTAGCAACCCCAGTCTCTAATGCTGCATTCGAGTTACCTCAGATGTCAGATGTCCGAGCTGGGAATGACGTCACACCCGAGTTACCAGCGTTTCAGTCACCAAGTCGGAAAAAAGCAAAATCAGAGGCGAAAACATGATGGCTACATCGACGAAAGGGAATGCTAAAATAACTTAAAATAACTTAAATAACAAGCGCTAAAATAACTTTCATAGATGTAGCCATCTTGTTTCTGCCTCCGATTTTGCTTTTTTTCTGACTTGGTGACTGACACGCTGGTAACTCGGGTGTGACGTCATTCCCAGCTTGGACATCTGACTTCCAAGGTAACTGGAACGCAGTATAAGACTAAAGAAAATGACAAGAAATTGTCGACAATTTGACAAATTTATAATACAGGTTTTTTTTTTATATCAGTTGAACAGATTTAATGTTATATTTTGGAGCATACTGAAGATAGCTGTTTTACACTACCTGTATTCCTAATTAGCAATAACAGTTATGCTATTATCACACCACGAGTAAGAGTGAAGGAAAGCTTGAAACACTTAAGTGAACTGAAGGTCAAATTTGTATCAGGAGGTTGTTGTTTCGATCAGCTGTAGCGCCTCACCTGGTTGGCGGTGACGCTTTTCCATCCAGATGTAGCAGTTGTTTTGCGCCACGCCGGTCTGTGAGTCCAGGAAGGGCATCCGCACGCTGCGCTCCGCACAGAGGCGGGCATTGTAGCTGCGACAGTGTTCGATCGCCTCCTTGTAGAACTGGTCACCGAGCCTGAACACAGCCAGAGGACAAATAAGAATGTACAAATAACCGTGCATAAAACTCACTTTTACAATCTACTTCCACAACTACTGAAGCAGTATCACAAGGCGGTTAGAGAAGACCTCTTTGGAGATCTTGTTACCCAGGAATAATATTATAGTCTGTTTGCTATTTGCAGCATGCTGCTTTGATTTCTGCTTTCTATGCGCTGAGTCATTCCTGCTGTTTGAAAAATTTCAGATTGTTAGTGGCAGAACATGTGCATAGCGGCTGATGATTCGGTACGGTCAGCAAATCAAGTACGAGCGGACCCTGTTCGGACCCGGTTAATGTTTGTCTAATATCATACAGCAGGCTCCTCTCCACAGTTTGGCTCTGTTTCACTCTAGGACCTGGATTTGGAGCTTTGAGACGAAGCATGAAGAGCTTAAAGAGGACACACACATGCAGGAAACCGAGAAACACCGTAAGAAAAGACGAAATTCTCCACCCTGTCAGATTGATAAATTACTGCTCAATAAAAGGACTGCACACACAAACACACACACACACACACTATGAACTGACAAGAGAGGATAAATCAAGATGTGAGCCGTCTATTATCCCTACAGTCTCAGTTCAGAGGCAAGATTTCTGCAAGTAACAGCATTATAGATGGACAGAACAAACCAAGATGGACAAACTTTAATCTAATTTGCGTCTGTTATGTTTTTTTATATGGCAGAAATCCAGACAAGAAGATAGAGGACTGATAGTTCCTCATAGGTCTGACCTGAAGCCAGCAGGAGCCCGTATAAATCATCTTTTGGCACAAATGACATCAAATCAGACTGATGTAAAGGGGAATCTGCTCTTATGGGTGATTTCAGGTTTTGCCGAGCAGAGATGGTCGCTCTGTGGATCCTCCTCACAGATATGTAAAGAATGCCAAAGCTGGACAAAGACCAGCACTCTGGTCACACTGGAGCTCACAAAGATGTGCAGTGTTTGGAGGTGGAGGGTGGATGGGTGAGGAAAAGGGGGTTGAGTGGAAAAAGGGTAAGAGGTCGGAGCAGCGAGCAACAGGGACTTGACCAGGTACTGCAAGTGAAAAAGAAGAAAGGAGAAACATTTATGGAGGGGAAAGAAAGAGGTGCTTGATTTGTAGAAATGAAAGTATGAATAGAAATGTTTTCTTGTGCTGTAGGAGACATAAGAAAAGCTGAACTCGACATAGTCCTCCGTAGAATTTGAAGGAATTGAAGACGATTACAGAAACAGTAGATCGTTAATGCTGCAAGGCAAAAACAGCTAAGTTACAAAAAATATGTATATACTGTAGATATACTGTAGGCTACTGCTCTTCACGCCGACAGGAAGACTGACTGATCAAACTTGGACCAGAAAAATATCATCTGGAGACATGCAGCTGCCTCATAAGAGAAGTGGCTCGATCACGTAATGTGTAACTGTTATTGTCACGGCTAACAGTGTAGTTAGTGGATGAAGATTGTCATGAGGTCGCTGCACCATCTACAGGATAAGTCGGGGAACTTTTCAAATGGCGGAACATTTTCGAAGTGAAACTGAATCGTATTCTCCGCATTCTATTTTGGAAAATATTGGAGAGTTTTGGCAGCTTACCGATTAGTCTCAGACGGGCTAAATTGGCAGATTTAATCATTTCGCCGATAAATCTGTCGGGCCCTAGTTCAGATAACCTGCAATGGAAATGTTGATTTAAAAAATCAACTGTTCTTGTTCATGGCATTCTTAAAGAAGTTGTACATATGTCTTACTCTTAAAATGAGACGAATGATCTTGTTGCTCTGCTGGATTTTATTGTATAACACTTTTTTACTCTATTTCTGGTTCGTTCTATCTCAAAATTACCTGGAATATCTGATCAAGAAAAAGTCATTTTCTCTTAAAATTAGATAATTTTTCTAATGCCAAACCTGCTTGACAAGATGAATATTCTTCTTGTACAAAAAACAAGACTCATTTCCTTGATACAAGGCTGTTTCCTTTCTTGAAATTCCTTTTTTGCAGTGTGATGTCTCATTTGCATAATTATCATTACAATTATCCTCATGGGAGCTTTAAAGTGTTCAACAGTAGAGCAGCATCAAGTCGCAGCGCCGTGTGCCCCCTTCAGTGCCATAGTGTGGATACAGTACTCTGTCGGGACTTTAACACATGTGGTAGACATGGCTGAGGTTAATGTCAGGAGACCTGTGCAGATGAGAAACACAGCTGTTTATCAGTGTGTGTGTGTGTGTCTGTGTGTGTGTGTGTGTTTGCCAAACCAGCAGTCCCACTTATCGGTATAAATCCAGATCTCCAAAAGAGACTTCCTATCACATAACTCACATTTCCAGATATGACCCGGTGTCACTGCTTTCACTATAAATATATGAGCTGAGACGTGTGTGTGTGTGCGTGTTAATGTGTGTCTGTGTGGACCTAAAGGCATTTCTCAGCATCTGTCTTCCTCACTTTCCTCCTTCTCTTCCTCCCCGTGTCATCCCATATTTCCTGCATTTTTTTTTCCTTCACTTTTCCAGCAGCAAAGTGTCTGCGGCACTGTAACCTCTTACATAAGCAACTGTGCCTGCTGTGCATTCATTTGAGAGGTGTATTCAGCTGAGTGAAAGTAAAGTGTGCATGTGTTTGTATGCCTGTAAGACCATCTGTGTGATTGTTGCGTGTCCTGACAGACATCTCCCCCCCTCCCCTCAGATTCACCCGCTTCACCCACCAGAGATTGTACTGTGCTCCTTTTTGTACCCATTAGTCGTCGGTATGGCTGATCCTTGTGATGCTGCTTATGTAAGTCGAGTATTTTGCATGTTGGGGAAAACATTCCTCTCGGTCAACAGCGTCCTGGATACTGATGGAATCTGTATTTGTTGTGTGCGCGCACTTGCGTGTTGTTGTCTCGATTGCTCCCATACCGGCACAAACGGGCTATGTGCGTGACGGTCAGTCTTATCAAAAGCACAGAAGCAATGGCGGTACAGAGCCGCTCATGATAAGGTTGATGTTTCCAGGTAAAATCTAACTCAGACGGAGCTTATCTACATGATAGACAGTCAAAAGTTCACTTAATCTTCAGCCGAGGGGTAGAGGATGCTCGATTAATCTGACTTTCTGATCAAATCTGAAGTAATCTCTAAACCAGTCATGTATTTCTGTCTGTTCTTTGCAGCTCACAGTAGTCTTATATCCACCATATTGTAGACAAAAGTTCCCCAATGAGATCTCTGATCATAAAAAATCTGTCTATTGGCTGGAAATCAACTTTAAATTACTGTTTAATCACTTCTACTACATTTCAAGCATGAATGTAAACAGACTCAATCCAGCGTCTTCCCCTTCAATGAAATCTAAAGAGGATGCTTTGCTTTAAACCATTAATAACTTTGGAGAATTCCACTCCAACAAGGCAACTGTTCATTCCTCTGATTTGATATTCTTATATCTATAGTTGTGTAAAAGCCTAAGGGCCCGTGTCCACCGATAGCGTTTCAATTCCTGAAAGATGAGTACTTAGAAAGCGGGAAAATTCCCCACATATTTTAAATCTAGTTTTCCCAATATGACGCACAGCCAATATCTGCCTGGATGTGCATGTGACGGACGCCACATCAGTCGAGCTCACACTCTGGGAAGGAGACTATCAACCACAGTATAAATCCAATCCAGTTAATATTAGGGCCCAACCAATATGGATTATTTGGGGCCAACGCTGATACCAATAATTTTTGGGGAAAAAAAATCTGATTTACCGGTTAATCGGTCTGTTTTTTAAATTTTTTATGAATTTATGAAAAATATATATATACTGTATATACTGCAGATATACTGTAGGCTACTGCTCTTCACGCCGACAGGAAGACCGACTGATCAAACTCGGACCAGAAAAGCGTTTTCAACTCCCCCCTCGCCAATCAGTGCCTCCGCGTCTTAACTCACGTTACTCATTTCCGGTCTCATCTGGAGACATGCAGCTGCCTCAGTAAGAGAAGTAGCTCGATCATGTAATGTGTACTGTTGTTTATTCTACCATTACTGGCACGGCTAACTTTGTAGCAAGGCTAATAGCAGATGGCTAACTCTAACTTTAGCTTGCATATTACATGGTGCTTCACCGTTAACTCGGCGTGACCGAGACCAGCACAGCAGGGAACATCATGAAGTGGGTTGAACTGAAACTTGTTGACTTATTGTGTATTTCACTAACTATGAAGATTGTCATGAGATCGCTGCACCATCTACAGGATAAGTCGGGGAACTTTTGAAACCAAATCTTACTCTCCGCATTTTATTTCTGAAAATATCGGCGAAAATCTGTGAGTTTTGGCCGATTACCGATTGGTCTCAAATGGGCTAAAATTGGCCGATTTAAGATGCTCGCCGATAAATCTGTCAGGCCCTTGTTAACATGCAGCCATTACTAATATTTACTAATATTAACAGCAGCAAGGCAGCTGCTAATCAAAGTCAACTTTATTGTCAAATACATGTTAAACATACAGCACAGATGAAATTTAAGTCCTCTCAGACCCACAGTGCATAAGAATAAACTATAAGAATAAAACTATAAAAGAATAAATATGAGAATAAACATCTAAGCTAAACAAAAGACTACCTTAAATACTCTCAATTTACAAAATAAAGATAACAATATTAACAGCATAACAGTATAAACAATGTAACGGTATAAATACAAGGAAGAAGGTGAATGTAAACAGTATGGCAGTCCTGATGTGGATGTAAAGTGCAAATCTGACAATATGGATGCAATAGTGCAAATAATGACCATTGCGCAATAGTGCCGTTTAATCAGAGTAATCATAATTAGAGTTTAATCATCCAAGCTTCTGAGGCGTAACCTGACTTTGACAGAAAGCCGCTCCCTGTCAATCCCTCATCCCTCTCAGCTGCTCAGTATCAGGCATATATCAGCCAGTTATGATACCGCTGCTGACTCTAAACCACAAAAAAAAATCTGTTGACTCTCTCAGCCTGACAATAAAACAGCCTCACTAAATCAGCAGTCGGGCATTCTGGTCTGTCAGTATTAAATCGATGCAACAAAGATAAAGATAAGATGTGATGAGGTGCAGATAAACATCAGCTCCTGTTATCAGTGCGTGGCAGGTTATTTGCCAGCAGACATATCATATCCCATGTTCAATCCCTAGTTGACTTCATCACTTTGTACTTTGCTTTTGTGTTTTATTTTTGCACCTCATACTTAAGAAACTTGGGACTGACTTGAATTTTTGGGTGAATCTCTCACCAAATGTGCTGTGCTGCTGTTGTAGAGCCATTGAGAGCAGGTTTTGGAACATAGTAGTGCTATCATCTAGATTGTTGACAGTGTGTAACATACACTGGTGCTTTGACAGCAATCTAGAGGATAACACCAACCTATGAGATGTTTTAGAGCCTGTATATAACATGCTATTAATATAAACTAAGACGAATGACTTTATTTTAAGAAGAATCCAGAAACAAGTAATAATGGTAAGTAACAGCAAGCTAAGTCCATTTCTAGAGGGTGAAACGCCCAGTAGAAGGTGCAGAGCAGCAGCCTGCAGGAACTGGTAGGCATTATTGTGGCACTTTGTAGCAGGACGATCAGGCATGGAGGAAAAGGACAAAAAGGAGGAGCCAAGGAGGCAGAACAGGAGGGAAGAGGAGGGGTCCGATATGTCCCGGGGCACACGTGTTCCCTTTCAAACCCTGTCACACTCATTTTCTCTCAAACGTGCGGATGTACATACGCACGAGCACACTCACGCACGCACACACAGACACGCACAAAGGCTATGAAAGGGAAAGGTACAGAGTGCAGGCGGAGGGGGGAAAAGGAGAGAAGTAGGGGGAAACCCTGATTCAGATGCTGCCGTTGTTTTGCTCAGAAAGAGGCGGAGGATGGTGAGGTGAAGGAGAGGAAGCAGAAGCAGAAGACGTGGGCAGAACGATAACTCGCATCAGTTCAGCGCGGGTTTGGGGAGGAAAAACTGAAAAAAGCGTGTCTACTCGAGAAAAAACACTGTTTTAAAAATGAGGAGTGACACGCAGATGAATCCCATCACCCCACTCTTCTTGAAGGAATCTCACACTCACTCACAAAAAGAGGGAAATATGCCAGCTGCATGTATAGAACAGGGGGGAAAAAATCACAGGATTGATCACTGTATGGGGCTTTCATGAAGAAAAACGTCCCTGGCCATTTAATTCCACATGCCTGGAAACCATTCCCGGATATTCCCATTCCTTTCTTAGACAAAGGCCAGAGTTCCCCCCTGTGCTGAGGATGTAGTATAAATGTATGCAGTAAATGCAGCCAGACAGACAACCCCCCACCACTTCTCAGCCCCAAAAAAACCTCCATCACTCACTCACGCCGCGTCTCACGCAAAATGGGGGGGAAGGGCAAACAGCTACACAAGCGCCTGCAAATTCAACAAAACGTACACACAAGCATTGACCCCTGCAGTACATACACAATATCACCTTCTCCATTACATTTCCCCCTCTCAGTCCTCATGCAAACACAGACCAGCCGCTCTCCACCTGAGCTCTGAGACCTAATAAGAAGTAAGGTAAAAGAGAACAGTAATATGCACATGAATGCACTTCTGCATATGAATTTTTATTTGCTCATTTGAATACCTCTCATGTCATCTCTCTATAGCTGCGGGCCTTCAAGGTTTAAATCAGAAAGAAGGATTTTTTATTTTTTATTTTAGAAATAAGAGTTTGAATAAATCAGGTAATATGCATGGCTAAAAATGTCTGATTGTGTCCAGAGGGCCAGACATATTTACAGCTGGCTGCTTGTAATTCATCTTGCACAGCTGAAAGTAGAAGTGGAGCCAGTAAGGCTATAACTAAGCCTGTATTGACTGGATATGATTTATCCACTACATTCCAGAGTACAGTCTCAATAATTTATAAAACCTGGTTCTTATGTCCATTTTCTTTTAGGTGGAGTCTTAACACAACCCCCCCCACACACACAGTTTGTTTTCTGTTTTTCCAGATATTAAATGGAGTGGGGGTTGGTTTGGTTTAGGGCAGTCCATCTGATTAAATCCCACCGTATATGAAGGGCAGATGGGGTTCTCCCTCCTCTGCCCCAGCGTCTTCTCTTTACATACCTCGCCCTCTCTCAACAGATGGACCCAGGAGAGTACTGGGATGCTCCTAATCTGCTGCTCTACACACAAAACACAAACACACGCACATACTGTATACCTACATACTCCAAATCCTAATCTGTGTCGGTAGAATACAGCAGCTTAAAGCAGATTTTTAAAGTAGATGATGGATGCATACACTGTTAAAAAAACGACAATCAAAGACAATCTATTCACAAGAGTTTGTTTTCTTAATTTGGTGAACAAAGAAAATTAAAATAGCTATTATTTAATAAGAAACTACATGTCAGACCAACAATGTGCACCTCAATAGAGACCAAATATGTAATTCTAATTTAGCAGAATTTGCAATTTGTTGTTTGCCCATGATGCAGTTCTGACATTGACCCATGAGATCTGCCGAAGAAGACCTACGGGGTTTACCACGTTCCAAGTTGTTTAAGTATTTTGTGTGAAAATAAACTTGTCTTAACTGTATTAAGTGTATGAACTAATAGCAGTGTTGTTCTGCTTTACCAAATTTACTTAAGTAAATTGGCTACTTTTACAGTTTAGCTAACAATGCTTGTCTATCTACACTGCTTGTCTGCCGGAAAATTATCTTTCTGTTCTCTTATGACATGTTTCTCAGTCGCGTGTTTAATCGCACATGTAACTGAGCAGGCAATTTTATCTCCGGGGCGCATTCACGACGCACGCTGCCTCCACGCTCACTCGCTGCGGAGCAAGCCGTTAACTTTAGCCATTAGCAAGCGACTGCTAGCCGACGTCTAGGGCTGCTAAATGTTTATATTGGCAGAACAAAGAATAAATAGTCATGACAAATAAAAACTAAGAGAATGTGGTGTTGTTCTGCTTTACCAAATTTACATAAGTAAATTGGCTACTTTTTCAGTTTAGCTAACAATGCTTGTCTGCCGGAAAATTATCTTTCTGTTTCCTCACGACGTGTTTCTCAGCCGCGTGTTTAATCGCACATGTAACTGAGCAGGCGATTTTATCTCTAGGGTGCATTCACGACGCACGCTGCCTCCACGCTCGCTCGCTGCGGAGAAAGCCATTAACTATAGCCATTAGCAAGCGGCTGCTAGCGAATGAAGAATCAATAGTCGTGACAAATAAAAAACAATTGAGCAAATATAAGTGTTTATATTGGCAAAACGAATAACAGATAGTAGTGACCATTCACCGAACAGCATAAACGTAACTGATACAACGATGAGATGTCATTTAGGACATTGACCAAGCAAATCGTCGACAATTAAAAAATCTTACTGCAAAGTTTTCTCAATTATTCTTTTTTTACAGTGTAGTTACCACATTTTAGGTGTGAACATAGAGCCAACAGGCATTATAAGTTTTATGCAAATAATATTTTTTCACACTTTTGGCAATGTGAAAGGTGTCCAAAGGGTGCCAAAACAATGAATAATATAGGACACACAAATTCAAAATAACAAACAAAAGCAATAAGCATCTTTCAGTGCTTGATAAAACTTATTTTATACACTTTTACTCAAAATGACCATGCAAAATCCTGCATAAACCCATTCTGTAATTCTTTAAATTAGAAACTGCTCACATATCATTGTTCATAATAACAATCTGATTGATTCCAACGGAAGGTTTTCGTGTATAAATGCGTATAATAACGCGCTATGTGGCAAATAAATGCATTTGGCATCCGCAGCAAAAACACGAGCCGCGCATTAAACCACGAGTCGCCCTCTCAATGTGCGCTTTGTGGAGCAAATTGCATGAAATTATCTATGCAAATTCACCAGTCGTGCATCGACAAAGGAACCCTGCATGCAAACTTCTGTCAGGCGTGTTTATACGGTAGATAATGAGGACGGTGGCAACTTTCATTAAGTGAAGTAAGTAAAAAAAAACCAAGTGCGGAAACGTTCGTGTATTTACGCGCGGTGTTGGAGATGAATCCTGTGCAGATTGTGCATGAGAGCATGCTTTCATATTATACAACACATAAAGCAGCGGTACCTGCAGAAAACACACACGGAGACTGACCAAGTAAATGGTACAAGAGTTGATGTCTAGCTTCCAAACAGAAAAAAGGCGATTAACCCTGTATGCATCCTGAATACACTCACTACATGCAACCCGACTGTGCAAAAACGTATGAATATCCATCTGCAGTTTACTTACGATTTTAGAGGATTATGAATGACAGTCGCCATTTTCCTGCTGGACTGTAACGTAATATTCCAAATCTCGGTGTAGTTTGGGACCCTTATGAAAAAAAAAACACAACAGCCAATGCGGTCGTGGGCACTCTGATCTCTACCAATACAACAGCAGCATCCACACAGGGGGGCGTGGCTTCAGAGAAATCTGTCAAAATCAATCCCTCTCCTCAGGGTTAGTGATTATTCACCATTATTCTATCTTTTTAATTTTTATTATTTGTGAGTAAACACGCTTAAAACTGAATTTATATATGTGATGAGCTCTTCTGTGATGTTTTGGTAGTGTTAAGTTTTGTGTATGAAAAGAAAAGCTACTGATCTATTACTGTTAACTAATGTTTAAAGGGAAAAACATCAATAGAATTCGTCTTCTCATTTCCAATTTCTATCTAATTTAAATGAATAAACTGCTTTAATATATATAGAGCAGTGTTAAAACGCTCACCAATAAAATGACCAATGACTGCCTGAAACGTCACATACTATTGTTAGGCGTCAGCCAATGAAACATAGATATATACAAGAAAGGCTAGATGACTCGAGGCGGCCATCTTACTCCAGAATGACACTCTGGTACGCTCTATGGTAGTTGACAGGAGGTGAGTAATCTGAATGATCAAAAATATTCCTAACTCGCTGAAATCTTGACAGATAATAACTTGGCAAACAGACTTGCTTGTGAGTGAGACCAAGTAGGTATTACAAAGTTGACCCAGCAATTTTACTCTCAGTTGGAGAGGCAGAAATGCTCCTTCGTTTCAACATAACTGAAGTTGCACATGATTTCCAAGCTGTTTGGTTTGTGGCAACATGAGGCAGAAATTTATATTGAAATATATATTTATGTAAATAACATCTGTGCAGCATATGGACTGGAAACCCCGAGGTCAAAATGGGAAGCACCTCCCAAGGTGATAGAGAATGACTGAGTCAAGATCCTGTAGGACTTCCAGATACAGACCAACAAAATGGTAATGGCCAACCAACCGGACATTGTAATCGTAGACAAGCAGCAGAGTAAAGCCGTTGTGGTAGATGTCGCCATCCCTAGCGATACCAACATCAGAAAGAAGGAACACGAGAAACTAGAGAAGTACCAAGGGCTCAAAGAGGAGATAGAGAAAGCCTGGAAGGTGAAGGCAACAGTGGTGCCTGTGGTCATCGGGGCACTCAGGGCAGTAACCCCCACATTGGATAAGCAGCTCCAACAGATCTCTGGGGAAACATCAGACATCTCACTCCAGAAGAGTGCAGTCCTAGGAACAGCAAGGATACTGCGCAGGACCCTCAAGCTCCCAGGCCTCTGGTAGAGGACCCGAGCTTGAAGAGACACAATACTGCCCAGGGTGGGCGAGAGAAGAGTTATTTATATGTATGTTATTACAGTTATCCCTATAATAGAAATGTTACTAATATAACATACATGGAATGATTAAATGATATATAAATGATTTAATATAACTGCTTTGTGTGTGTAGGCCTATAGCTATTGCTCTACTTATCTGCTTAATGTTTATTTATGAAAATCCATGGTTAAAATTATTCTTGAGTATGCAGGAACAAAACTAAAACTCAGAGGTTTGTTACAAACCAAACCGTTCGAAAATCGGTTTAAAATTAAGCAATCTATGTTTATTTTTAGTTTTTTATTCTATTCTATTCTATTTTTATTTTATTTTATTTTATTCTTTTTCTCTGTGAGGCGTCTTTGGACACCTGTAAAAGCGCGTTATAAATCAAATTTACTATTATTATTATTATTATTTAAATGCTACATGCACTGTAGACTGTAATGTTATGAGTGGGCGAGCGTCCCGTAGCAAAATGGCCGCGAAGCACGGACGCCGGTCTCTATTGGCTAACAGCGTGCGTAAGCCATCTAGCGTTCATATATATCTACGCAAGGAACGCCATTTGGGGGCGGGACGTCGTAGCAGAAACTCAATGTACAGTAGTTAGCATAGTTAGCTTAGGAGGTGTTAAAACTGCCACGTTCGATCCGTTTTACGTGGAAATACTCTCCCTTTTGACACTTTTTTGATAAAGTTAAGCTCTCCATACATTCAGTTGTTCTTAAGTCCGTCTCTGCCGTAAAGTTAAACTTTATAGCAGAGATGAAGAAGTGGGACTGGCGAGAAGGGCAGCGACCACACAGGCGACACGGAGGTGGTGGTCACCGGCACGGCTGGTACAGAAGCAACCGGCAGAGACCAGCACATGATGACCAGTGGTATGCTTGATAAAACAATGATTTAGATGAACTTATGGGGAATTATAACGCCCTACAGACAATGTATTTAACTCCCATTCATATCCAGGTGATCATGGTTTGTTTATACGCTCACAGGTCTGGATATAATGATGCAGGTCAACACCACAGAACACCCCAAAGGAGATATGAAGACCAGTCATACTCATCCTCAGCTCCGTCCTCTTCCTCATCCTCCTCCTCGTCTAATACCAGCAGCAGTTCTGCTCCAGGTCAGTACCATACGACCTCCCCCCTTAAATGTGTCACACAGAGAAACAGACGAATAGGGGAGACTGGGGTAAGTTGAGCCAAAGGGTAAGTTGAGCCACCCCCTTTGCTTGGAAATGGTAAAAGAAATTGATCATGTGACCAAATATTTAGGAGCACGGAATCAATTCATGGAGTCTGTGAAGGTTAGAAGCTCATGGGTGAAGGGGTTAGACATTTATTTACAGAAAAACAGTTTCCACTCTTGAAAGTGAATTTAGTCTGTCTTAACTTTTATTAAGATTTTGTTTATGCCTCCCTCTTTATTTTTCAGAGCTGCCTGGTTTCTACTTTGACCCGGAGAAAAATCGTTATTTCCGCCTGCTCCCCGGAAACAATAACTGTAACCCACTGACCAGAGAGCAGCTGCAGGAGAAAGAAAGAGAGAAACAGAGGAGCAAGATGCTCGCCGAAGATGAGAAACCCAGAAAAGTAAGCCTATTGTGTCGTCCACATAAAGACTAATAAGAGGGCCAGACAGGACAGACTTTTTTGTTTACTGTTGTCATGATCTTTAAATGTGAGGAGGAGAGTGTGCGAGACTTGTGAGACTCGTGACCTGGAAGTTTTTCACGATTGTTTAATGAGAAAACTTGTTTTTTCTTCTTCTTCACAGAAAGCTCCAAGAAAAGGACTGAACACTTCCCTGCTGCTGCAGAAAAAACATCTCGGCTTGTTACCTGACAACTCCTACTGCAGGTACTTGACCATACTGAATGTGAGCACGCATGCACACGCAAAATAGGGTCAGATTTTAATGATAAACAGCTCTTAATGTGAAGCGTGGGTTTTCTTTGGAGCTTTGCCGGCCGCTAATAACGATGCTAATCAGTTTTGACATTGCTTTCAAGAAAAATTATAAAAAGATGAAAATGAACGAAAACATAACCTCATTATGGTCAAAGTGTTCTGCCGTCAAATTGAATCATCGCAACAAACCCTTAAGATCCACCGTTAACTGAAAAATGGTTCAATGAATGAATTACACAAAGTTCAGATGTTAAGTGGCCTGTACTTTGTTACCATGGTTACTGTGTGTCCTCCCAAGGCTGGTCCATGAGGTGAAGGTCAGTGCAATGAGACGACACAAACTGGAGATCCAGAGCACTGATAACAGCAACCCAAACACTGACAACTTCAGGCTCATAGTGGTGAGAACAAGGACATAATAATGCTGTAGTAATAGATGTGCTTAAGTATTATATGAGTCTGTAATTATCTTCTGATTCATTTATCATAGGGAGACTCGGCTTGTGAGCGAGTGTTCACCGTCAATGACGTGTCGCATGGAGGCTGCAAGTACGGCATCATGAACTTCAGCAGCAGCAGCCGAGGGTCTCTGTCTGTGGAAATGTGCGACAACCTCTACTTCACAAACCGTAAGGTGAGGTTTTCACAGGAACTGGAGTGTTAGTAATGAATATGTAGACATTTATGTATTTATGTAAGGTGTCTGTGTTTCAGGTGAATTCCATCTGCTGGGCCTCGGTCAACTACCCAGACTCCCATGTTTTGTATCCTTTGACATCTTAAACAGTTGCTCATTGATAACATGTATTAGAAATAACTAAAGTGCAGTTTGAATTGACCTTTTCCTTGACTGAGCTGACCGTCAGACTGTGTCTAGTCGGGGCAGCCGACACTCCCGGCTGCGTCAGTCTGCTCCCCGCTTCCCTCTTCAGCAACTCCAACCCAGGTTGTGTTGAGTCGAATCTCACATTTCTTACATTTTATTGTACTTTTCATAAAAATTAGATTGTGGTTACTTAGCAAGGGCTTTTAAAAGTCCCTTTCTTAAATAAGATCTGGATTTCATGTTGCTTTGTGTCTTTGTTTATGACTTATTTTTAACATTGTTCCTCTCTCTCTCTCCCCAGATCAGCCCGGGATGCTGTGTAGCTTTAAGATTTCCTCTGCCTGGTCGTGCGCCTGGTGCCTCAACCCCCAGTTTGACAAGACCTTCAGCACAGGTCTGGGCAAAAATCCCCAAATGCAATAATCTTGAACGACAGTAGTCAGATAATAGTTCTCACTGACATCTTTAGTGTTTTATTTACACAGGATGTCTTGGTAGATTTGCTTAAATTAATGTAGATGATGATAAAGAGACATGAGAGCCCCCTGTATTTCTTTTCTTCTCACAGACAAAAAAATGGTAATTTTCTAAATGTTCTTGGTATGTTTTGGCAGGTCTGTCCCGCAGGGTAATAGTAAAAGACGCAGAAACTGGCCGGACTCAAACCTACAGCACCAGTAGTGACGTCTTGGCTCAGCAGTTTGCCCTCAGAGTGAGTCGTCTCTTACACCCACGCCTATATCCCCCCAGCAGCTAACACATTGTTGTACGGACCTTTTGCTGCAGTTGGACAAAAAGAAAGGAAAGTGAAATACTATTTTTTTTTCCCTCCCTCAGGTCCCTGTGCTGTTCAACGGCTGCAGATCAGGAGAGATCTTCAGCATTGATCTGCGGCAGCGTGTCCGCAGGGACCAAAGCTCCAAGACCAGCCGCTTCCATCAAGAGTCAGCCATCACCTCTGTGCGCGTCCTGCAGGATGAGAACTACCTGCTGGCTGCTGATATGCTGGGCCAGGTCAGAGAATTGGCATGAGTGTTAGATCTTTTAACTCTGGCTGTTGTTACAAACAACACCGCAATGTTGTGGCTTTGTGGGGTAAAAAGGTTTTGAACTCGGCTCTGTTTTCTGTCTTTATGTGCAGATTAAACTGTGGGATGTGCGAGTGACAAAGCCGGTGCAGGAGTACAAAGGACACTACAATGAGCATGCTTACCTTCCCATCCACGTCAATGAGCCAGAGGGGCTTCTATTAGCAGGTAAACTGTCACTGTTAGCCCAGGTAGGATGTCGTTTTGAATCTAGTTCACCCTGAAATACTGAGCAGAAGTCAAAACAAGCTTTGGATTAAGTTAGTAGCCAGACTCTGGCCAGACGAGGTATTTTGAGACATGACGTTCATTCTCCATACTCCCATTTCTGACGTCTTTGCTTTTGTGCACAGTCGGTCAGGATTGCTACACACGATTATGGAGCCTAAAAGACGGACACCTGCTGAGGACTATCCCATCGCCCCACCCGGCTGCCAACGACCTGATCCCGAGCGTGGTCTTCTCCTCCAAGCTGGGCGGCTGCAGGGGGCTCCCCGGCCTGCTCATGGCTGTCAAACACGACCTGTACTACTTCCCGTACAACACAGACTACCAGGACGAAGTAGAGCAGACAGCGGGGTTTTAGGAAAGGCTGAAAAAGCCACGTCTCGTCAGATTGTTTGCTTTGAATGAACTTTTTGTTTGGAGGTGAATTTGAAGTCTCAGGGGAATTTTTGAAACACAGAGTCATGAAAAAGGACCGTAGTGCTCAGTGTAACCTTCACATTAAGTGCTCTTATTATTCATCTCCTAGTTTAAAGGGATATTCCGGCGTAAAATTGAGTTAGGATCAAACACACCGTAACACCGAGTTAGACAGCCGATTGAGGGATGAATGTTGCTTCTCTAGTTATACCAACTTTAGTGACGACCAAAGCATAGCAATACACAGCGGTCTGAGAAGCCATAAACGAACCTCAACCAAAAAGCCACTCTATAGCCACAAATAATGCTCAGAACAGCACCTAACTTCATCAACAGGACATATAGGGTCCTAGCCACCAAACATCTTTTTAGCTTTGCCTGATTTCTTTAGCAAAGAGACTAAACACAACTCACCTACTCTCTTCCAGCAGCCACATATTTGTAGCGAGACCTCGGGCCAGTCCATTATGGACTGCAACGGGGGGGACGCAGCTCAAGGAAGAACATTTATGATCATTACTTTATCATTTCCAGACGTGGTAGTTCTTCTGCCTTAGCGTCTTGGTCTGACTGCATTTCCATGAAAAAATACAATCAGACCGATTGTTCTTTCTCAGTTGATGATGGACTGGCCTGAGGTCTCGCTACAAACAAGCGGCTGCTGGAAGAGAGTAGGTGAGTTGTGTTTAGTCTCTTTGCTAAAGAAATCAGGCAAAGTTAAAAAGATGTTTGGTGGCTAGTACTATGGCTGGGACCCTATATGTACTGTTGATGAAGTTAGGTGCTGTTCTGAGCATTATTTATGGATATAGAGTGGCGTTTTTGGTTGAGGTTTGTGTGTGACTCCTCAGACAGCTGTGTGTTGCTATTTGTGGTCAGCAACATTCATCTCTCGAGGGGGTGTCTAACTCAGTGTTACGGTGTTTGACCCTAAATTAATTTTACTCCAGAATATCCCTTTAATGTCTGTGTCTGTGATCTGATTTCAAAAAAGTGTTTACTGCAAATCACCAATTCTTAAAAGTGTGTCTTGTTGAATCATTTCTCAAAGAATCGGCAAACACAGAGTGAGTTTTCTGCAGTTTATTACATACTATATGGGCGTACAAGAACATAAAGATATTTATCGATTTGTTCCTTGTGATATTTATTGATCATCTCTGTCTGAGATGACGTTGACCTCCTTCACTTTTATTTCAGCTTATTTGTTGTGACATTGAAACTAAAACCAACTCAGTGAAAGAACATCCCCGGATAACCGTCATAATACTCCGATATTATAATACCCCTGTAACATCATATGTTGAATTCTTCAGACAATTGTCAAGTACAGTCCTGTTGCAGTAAAGGCAACATCACCACGCAGCCTGAGTAGTCAGCTCCTGTTTTGAGGGGCCAGCCTCAAAGACACATTGAAGTCTTTCCTGAACCACGTTTGCTACTGTGAGCCAGCCACTCTATAAAAGCAGTTTCTTTGACGTTTCATTACACTGCAGTCAGATTTCTCCTGATAGTAGTTTTGACATTTTAAGAACAAAACGAGGCCATTTAAAAATATCCCTACAACCCCAGAAAAGTAAACCTTTTAATTCCCTTATATTTTTAAATCTAAAAATGTCCCAATCTACACAGCACCGTTAAGGCTGCTCTATTACAATCTTCCTCAAAGCTCCTCAAAGGATTACGTATTTAATAGATAATTATTTAAGTTGGAATGCATCTCGGTGCTACAGTACAGCCTCAGCTTCTGATTGTGTGAATCCCCCCTGAAGCCAAAGAAGAAGCAGATGTCGGGTTTAATCGAGGTGGATCAATTTTCAAGTTTTCCATCCCTTTCCTCCAAAGTCGTCCCTGAACGCTACATCCAGAGCTTTGAGATTAAAAGTGCAAAAACCTGGAGTGAGTTTAAGATACTCAGTCAGTACTTCTGATAATGATTCACACATGAAGCACCAAACGAAAAAGGTGCCACTAGGACGAGTCAGTCACGCTGGGAGGGATTGTCAAAGAGGTCAGGGCTTCATGTGCATGGGTACTAATCTGGAAAGGATCAAATAGGGTCATGGATTTTTTTTTCCTGCCTCTCATTTTACATTGTTAACATGATTCATCATCCTAGCTCTTCGTATTCAAGTCTCGGTCTGACTGTTTTTGATCACAGTGTAAATTATACGTGTATTAAAGGGAAATGGCAACAAGGGGTTTAAGTGATGTGAGGACATCATTAAAAAACATCAAGAGAGTCTGATCCACCACAGAGAGTCCAGTGGCATGAAAAAGAAAACAGCCTTTCAGTCAAATTCCAGTTTCCACTTCAAGAGGCAGAGGTCCTTCGCTGTTTCTCCCTCCTCGTCCTGCTAGAGGTCCCCGGCTTTCTGGTTACAGCTGTTGCAGACCCTCACCGGGTGGTCCCAGCCACGGGAGGGCACAGCGCGGCGCTCCTGAGAGCAGTCATCACACACACCCTGCCCGCAGGCGCGGCAGTGATGGATAGAGAGGCGCGGGGAGAACTCTTTCTGGCACTCGTTGCAGGAGTGGATGTCCTGATCTGGGACCCAGTAGGCCGGGCGGGCCGCATCTTTTACCAGGCCTGAATGCAAATGAGATGAGGGGATTATAGAGTTGATTTGACTTTCAGAAAATATGACACAAGATTTTAATTTCAAATATTTTACAATTTTAGGCTGTAAATCCAGCTGTCTCTACATTTTCGGGATATCTAATGCTTACCAAGAGGTATGTCGATGGCACCAACTACAGCCCCTAAAGTGTTCTGCACCGCCTCCCCAACTTTCCTGGCTATCAGCGTGCCTCCCTCCTCCTCCAAGGCAGCATCCAGCAGCTCTGCAGCACAACAAACAAATCCAGTAAACAAAAACTGATATCAAGTTTGTGCACAAGCGTCTTGGGCTGTAGTGGGTGTAAAAGGAGAAGCAGATTTCTATTACCAGTTGGGATTCCTCTGTTGTGGAAACAGGCATCACAGACTCGGACAGGTGCGAGTCCCCAGCCCCTCTCCGGGACAGGCCGTGTTTTTGAGGAGCAGGAATCGCAGAAGCCCTCGCCACAAGCCCGACAGTGGTGCTTTGTGTCGTTGGGCTGAAACTCTTCTGCACATTTATGGCATTTCTACAACACAAGCAACACCAGGCTTTTAGCATAATTCCATAAAAAACACTTAAAGGGATATTCCAGCATAAAATTAAGTTAGGGTCAAACACACCGTAACACCGTGTTAGACACCCCCTCGAGAGATGAATGTTGCCGACCACCTGCTTCTCTAGTTATACCAACTTCAGTAACAACAGCACGATAGCAATACAGACAGCCAACACAACTCACCCACTCTCTTCCAACAGCTGCTTGTTTGTAGCGAGATCTCAGGCCAGTCCATTATGGACTACAGCGGGGTGACGCAGCTCAAGGAAGAACATTTATGATCATTTCTTTATCATTTCCTTGAAGTAATAATCAATAAAGAAATGATCATAAATGTTCTTCCTTGAGCTGCGTCACTCCGCTGTAGTCCATAATGGACTGGCCCGGGGTCTCTGTACAAACAAGCGGCTGCTGGAAGAGAGTAGGTGAGTTGTGTTTAGTCTCTATGCAAAAAAAATTAGGCAAAGCTAAAAAGATGTTTGGTGGCTAGTACTGTTGTTACTAAAGTTGGTATAACTAGAGAAGCAAGTGGTTGGCAACATTCATCCCTCGACGGGGTGTCTAACTCATGTTACGGTGTGTTTGACCTTGACTTAATTTTATTCCGGAATATCCCTTTAAATAGATTCCATTAGGAAGTTTTTACAAACATACCAGGATAAGGGAGTTGGGTTTCCAGTACGAGGGAGCGATCTGGTCAGTCAGCCATGAGGTGACAGCTTTGGCAGGTTTGACGCTGAGTTCAGACACTGACTGAGAAATGTATTTGACTCCATCCAGCAACCTCTGAGCAGCGTTGTTGTTGTCCTTCAAAAAGCCATCAGACTGAAAAGGAGGCAGAGTAGACTCAGCTGAGTGCACTGCTACACCCTTCTTTGACATTTCATCGACTTATTGAACACGACACAATAACAGGAATGTCTAGACTACAGCAAAACCAAATTGACACATGTTTCTCTATAAAAAGAGGTCACAAACAAATCTTGCATTACTTATCCTGGCATGAACGAAATTCATTTGACTTGTATCATGATTATTCAAACTTTAAAGCTGCTCCACAGTGTCCTTACCCCAGGCCAGATGTGCTGGATCTCCGTTCGTACCACAGTTTCCACTGGGTCCTGGTTTCCATACCAGTACTGCCTGCTTCTGTAGATCACTGCACAGTTGGGACACTCGATAACATACCTGTGCGATAACAGAGTAATTCAGCGACTCAGCCTTTGGGCACCATAGAAATCGAATATGCTGATGTGTTTTACCTACACTGAACTATTATTTAAACTTCCCCAGTAATGACTAGCAGATCTATTTCTGGCTGCATCATAACTTAACGATATTTCCTCCTTTTCCATAATAAAAGCAGATGTACTGCATAATTTTAGCTAACAGGAAACACATTTGAAGTAATCCCAAACTGCTGGCGGCTGGACTCACCCAGACCAGGCATAAATGGCCAAACCAAACCACGGTGAGTCAGATGAGGCCGTCGTCTTTGGAACAACTATTACCTCCTTCCCTCCTTCGTAGCAGGCCTGAAAAGACAAACACAGACACTTTGAAGATCTGAAAGGAGGTATATGTCATTTGGTATGTTTTTGGGGTCTGTGTTTACCTTGCAGGTGTAGATACGGTTGTCGTACTGGGCGGAGTAGCGGCAGCGATGTTTGGCTTCGTGGTCGAGTCCCTCCTTTAGGTGATTCATGCTTCTCTTACAGCCTGAACTGAAGGACCACATATTTTTTTTCATGGATATATTCAGACTGATCCTTTCAGAAACATTTATCATGATTTCAAAAAGACTCTTTTTAATTACATGCTCTTATTTATAGACCAAAGGGAGGAACTCAAAAATGAAAATACCGCACTGTTTTTTCATCACAGTGGCACTGAGTGGGTCAAACTGACAACTAAGCAGTGGCTTCGAGGCTCCCTGTCCTTTCTCAGATGACTGCTTTGACATCCAAGAATTTTTACAGTTTATACCACACATTTAAAGAGAGAGCCACCTACCCACAGCTGAGGCAGAGGCTTGAGCAGGTAAAGTACTCATCTGGGAAGAACGAGTTACTGGCCATGTGCTCATCTGGAATCTCCCCACTGAAACTTTCACTCAGGGCCTAAAGGAAGAAGCCAGTTAAGGATCGAGGGTCAGAAATTGTGATCAACCTTCACTATCAGTAATTCTGAATCATTTCACCCCAAAATTATGAATACATAAATCAGGCGTTACTACCTGCAGAGCCTTGAAGATAACACTGGCCGAGCGTGGCGAGCGGGTAGTGTTGTTATCCAGCTGTTGCTCCAGGCTGCGCAGCAAGCCGCTGAAGTCCGTCGGAGGGTTGTAGGTTCGAGTCCCCCGATATTGGATGGAGCTGAATGCTTCTGGAAACAGACCCAGTTTTCTGAAACGCTCCTGGAGAAGACGCTCGGCTGAATCAGATGGCTTGTCTAGAGATCACAGACAGTCAGAGGTCAGAAAAGAGAGCGAAAATTGTGATTTGACCTGTTGCAGGCACCTCTCACTCCTTATTTCTGTACCTGATCCTAGCAGCTTGGTGTGGACGGTCTCATGGAAGATGATAACAGCAGGACCCAGAGTAGATAACGGAACATCCAGACCACATCGGGCTGTGGTTGCTTTCAGTTCCTTGGTGAAATGTTTCAGGTAGGCATCTGACGCATCCCCGAGAAACTTGAAGAGATCGTCATGGAGACGATCAGCATGGGTTCGGTAGATGACTACATCAGATATGGCTAAGACTTTGAGGAGAAGTCGTGTTCGCTGACCCTGATTGGCTCCTGTGGGAGGGAAAAGTGGAATAAATATTTGCCACAGCAACTCCTAAATGAACCATATAATTAAATCTATTGTTGGTTCCATACCAGCTCCAAGCAGTCCTTCTGTGTCGATGACTACCACCCGGTGCACAGGGTCCATAGCTGCCCACACACCCACAGTGCAGGACTCTTGGGTGGGCGAGGTCTTGAACACCTCTCTTCCAAGGAAAAACGTGTGGTTCAGAGTGTGGGACTTGCCCTCACCGGTGTTTCCGAAGATGGACACCACCTTGAGGAGCTCATCCGGCTTGCAGCTCAGTCTGCTGACAAAGTCTTCTTCGTTCTTCAACTGTGAGTTCACACAAGATCAGCCTCATTGCCATGACAACACATTCATTAGTTTCTTAAAGACTGTAAAATATCTGGGGGGTATAATTTTTTTTATCATCTTCGTCTTTTAAACAAGGTCAAGTCTCTTTTATCTTTTAGTGATTTTCAGAAGTTATGCATGCTTTTATCACAACTCGTCTTGATTATTGCAATGCACATTAGTATGGGATAAGTTGATCATACTGTAGGAGCGGGGTTAGTTGAGCCATATCCCTACTACCCCCCACTCTCCATGTGTGGAGTTTGCATGTTCTCCCTGTGTCTGCGTGGGTTTATCCTAGGTACTCCGGTTTCCTCCCACATCCCAAAAACACCCAAAAGTGGGGTTAAGTTAATTGGCCACTTCCAAATTGCACGTAGGTGTGGATGGTTGTTTGTCTCTATATGTCAGCCATGCAATGCACTGGCGACTTGTCCAGGGTGTCCCCTGCCTTAACCCAATGATGCTGGGATAGGCTCCAGCACCCCGGTGACCCTGGGGATAGAAAATGGATGGATCCATTTCCTTTACCATTTCCAAGCAATAGTGGGTGGCTCAACTTACCCCACTCTCCCCTACAGCACTTTAGTCAGTGTTTATTTGTTTTTAAATGTGCTTTATAAATCAACCTAGATTGGACTGGCAATGAGTTGACATACCTGCATCTCCTCCCTCTCATCCACCAACAGGAAACTGCACACCTTCTCCAGCTCCGCCCTCAGGATCTCCATCTGTGAGTCCCCCGCACCCACGTTGTTATCCTGGGGTGCTTTGACAGGAGGGTAAGGCGTCAGGGGGTGCTTCCTCTTGTTGACCCCACTGTGGGTGCGTTTCTGGCAGTCTAAACACAGGTTGATCTTACAGCCCTGGCAGCGCACCACCGCCCTGAGCCGCCCGCCGTTGACGGGACAGCTGCTGTCACCTTTGCACGAGTCGCAGAAGGGGACATGTCCCGGTGCGATCCGAACCCGGTCGTGATTCCTCATCCGCTCCTGGCGATGGAGCTCCAGCTCACAGCGGACACACTGCAAACTGCCGCATTCATCGCACTCAAAGGCGGCCTCATCTGAACCCCCGCAGGCGTAGCTCTCCTGACAGCCCAGGACGGTGTTCATGCCTTTGTCTACAGCTGGACTTTGACCACTCATCTCAACCCTGACAGGTCAGGACAACTAATGAAGAGTCAATTACAGTATAGAGGAGGGGTCACAGTTATATCCAGGATGATTTGTTTAATTTAAAGTCAATTTACTCATCTAAAATACAGATTGTGTTGTGAAATATTCAACTTAGCAGCTTCTTGGTGTTGAGGGTATTCAGTCTATAGAAAAACAACTCCACTCAGCTAATTTTAACCACACTTGTCCAGACTGCTAATAACTATGTATGGCATCAGCTGCTCTGCTTCATAGGTTGCTATTTAAAAGTAGCCCTTAATGTCAAATATGACACTTAGATTAAACCCGCTTTATATCATAAATAACAAACAACCTTCGTTTCAACAGACTGACCTAGCAGAGGCTACCAGTCCGACCGACCGACGACGAGCTATCTGTGGACTAAAGTGCTGCCTCATCGCGGTCTAAAAGCGGACACGAACACGGTCGAACACCGAGCCGACACCGACACGGACGCAGACACGGCAAACGTCGGTGAGAAAAGTTAGCCAGCTGAGCTATTTGGTGTCAGACCCCTGTTGATGTTGTCGCTTTTACATCAGCTGATCGGCTTGTTTTTATCCAGAGTTCAAAAGTCATGTAGACGCGGTGCACTCTGGGAAATGAAGGCTTTCTGAGCTGAGCGGAAGTAAAAAAAAAAAACAGCGCTTTTAAACTAGCAAAACATTTAGTCCGTTAACCTATCCATGTACTTACTTTTATTTCTAGGCTTATTACTAAAATCTGAGAGTAAGAGTGTAAAGCAGTGTTTGAGTTTTTGAAGCAAACAAACTAATAAACAGAATTCAGTTAAAAGTAAAGATGATTTTGTTTTCCTGTGGGTGTGGGGACCTCTGGCTCACACTCCTGCACGGTAGGTGGCGGTAATGCACCTCTAACGTTGGTTGCCATCCGCTGTAAAACAAGAAGAAGACGAAGAAGAACGTGCTTTCTTGAGTTTGGCATCAAATCAGTTGCATGATTTACTTATGATGAGGACTTTTCAGTGTTTTTGTTGCTACATACGTTTTGCACATTATGTCTAACTGGACGGACTGAACGTCGCATCTAATCCTCGGTGATTTCCGCCTATTCACATGTATCACCGTACTTCACTGTATGCGACTGACCTTGCCCCGGTTTAACAGACTAGCTCAGTGCTAACCTCGTCTCCTCATCCTTGACTCGCCCTGTATTGCATGCATTTACGATGGAAGATGAAACCTACACCGATATTAATGGAAAAGCCATATCACTGGACTGTCAGAGTCACTCGGGTCTCTGCAGGGAGTTCACTGTCAGCTCTGCTAAAGTGTCCATCGGTAAGGTGATGGTGTACACCTGCTCTGTGTGGCTCTTTGCGTACGCTGTCTTCTTCTTCACACAGGTGAGACCACAGACAAAGAGTAACACTAACTTTAACCTAATAGATAAACCTTCTTTCTAAGTATTTAAGGGATATTCCGGTGTAGAATTAAGTAGCAGATAGCAATACACAGCGGTCTGAGGATCCATAAACTACGGACTACAGCGGGGTGACGCAGCTCAAGGAAAAACATTTATGATCATTTCTTCATGGAAATACAATCAAATCGAGATAACAGCCATAACCTTGTGTCCCTCAATGAGACCTGCATATGTCTGTCCTCCATGTCTTGCAGAACACCGCTGTCCTGTCCTGTGCCATATTAATCACCCTGGTTGGCATGATGTTTCACATCCACTTTGTGAAGGTGGACCATGAGTCCTTGCTCGTCATCGGCTCCTTGGGCATACAGGTGTCCTCCAGCTACGCCTCAGGCAGAGAGACCACCACGTTCATTGAGATGAGTAGGATCAAGGATATAGTCATCAATGAAGCTATATACATGGTGAATATGAAAAATTATATATAAGGAAATTCATACTCTTACAATGACATTTAAAGGGATATTCCGGCATAAAATAAAGTTAGGGTCAAACACACCGCAATACCAAGTTATACACCCTGTCAAGAGATGAAAGTTGCCAACCGCTTGCTTTGGTGATACGGTGTGTTTGACCCTAACTTAATTTTACGCCGGAATATCCCTTTTAACTACAGTTGTTGTGCTATTTAGGTAATAGTCACTAACATTTTCTTTCAGCATCAGATCATCTATTACCTGTGTGTGCTGTTGAAGGACCCGTCAGAACCTAACGCAGTCTCCAGTGTTGTCCCATTGTTCCAGGTGAGGTTAAATACCAGACACTCACTTCTCTGCGTCATAGAGCAGATTGCTTCAGGGGAGTTCCTTGTGTTTGTATCTGTCTTGTTTACCTTTTTTTAGGACGTCTAGTCCACCGAGTAACCTGTTTCTCATCACCCTGCTGTCTTCTTCTTTTCAGAACTCGAAGCCAAGGCTGAACTGTCTGGTGAAAGTCTACAAAAGCTGCCAAGAGATTCTGTCAAAGTGCTGACGGCTTTAAGTGTCGGTCATCCAAAAGGAGAGGGTCCTGGTTGAGCAGCATATTTTAATATTCCTTAGTTTATGTTATTCTAACTTTTTTTTTTCTCCCTAAAAAGAGACAGTTAGTTATATTTAGATGACGTGTTTAAAACTAATGAGCCAAACCTTTTATACTAAACTTAATATATTAACAGCTAGAAACATCCTTCAATAAATTATCATTTTGTTATTTATTACTTTGTCTACGATTAATTTTACTTTTTATGCTGATCCTTGCATTTCAGAGGGTTTTCAAAACTGTATTTTTGTAATAAGAACAATTGTAATAAAACACAAAATCAATATTGCCCCTAATTTGTCTGTTATTGTGGCAGTGTATTTCTTGGGTTGATTTGTTATGTGAATCATTACCACGTGTCTCCAGTTGGGGGCAGCATCACTCCTACTCATGAGTACTTTATAATCAAGCTCATGGCTCACCTATTTAATCACTACATACAGATAAATCTTTGCATCGATCCCCATAAACCTGCAGCTTTAAAATGTAGATTTTAAACAGTTAATATGTAGACTGATCTAGATTAGAGCCTCAATGAAAGGAGATGCACACATCTGTTTTGTTAAATCTCTCTTTGTATGTCACATTAATAGAGCAAAAACACCCCCACCTTTTCCCTTAAATGCATTTTCACTTCCTCATAATTATACTTTCATCTCTGAAAGCCACTTGGTCACGTTGACCTTGGTTGTCTGTTGACAGATCAGACCTGTTTTCAGAAATGTCACTCTGGGTTTTTCTTCACACAGCCACAGCACCAAAATAAAAACAGTGTGCAGGGTAGAGTTGACCAGAATTTATAATAAAAGATTTAGGCCCCTTAATTCAGCCGTCTTGTAAAATTTCAATTGGAGAATAATCACCCCTGACTCCTGTCGTTTTATGCGATAGACTATAATAAAATCATCTGGTCCAGATTAGCGCTCAAATTGTTTAGGATTTGGTTTTTAACTCTTAAGAAATATAGATTTTTTTAGATTTTTAGATAAGTTTTGTAAAGACACCAAACAAGAGCGGCACTTGTTTTAAAAGACTGTATTATTATTCACTGTATCTGTGTGTATGTATTAGTATGGAGAGTATAAATATGGAGGGTGTGCCTCCTGGCTGTTAGTAATATATAACACTTAAGTTGAAAGTTTAATGAGTCTCAATTTCCCACACTTAAATGCTCAGAGCTCTTCTTTTGCCGCCCTTTGGCCCGTGTTTCCCCTCCAGGCCCGATGATTTCCACCCATTTTAAATCCCCATGACCAGCTGCAGCCCCCATCAGACCTGTGTGTGAACTCCACACTCCACAGGCCAACAAAACAAGCAGAAGGGTGTGATTTTCTCGGGGCGAAGCGTAACGCTGCTGTGAAGAGTGGCCCTCTGACAGGATAATGGTCCCTCCTGGAGGTGTGAAACAGTCAGGGACCGAGAGCAAAAAACCTGGGAGTGAACTGGAGTGACACCTCAGGGCTTCTGGTGAGGCCTCATAAACCAGCAACCCCCCTGAGTGCAAATCACAGGTAGAGTGGAGGTTTAGCAGGCCAAGAAACCCACTGTGGGGCTTTTCCAGTCAAGAGGTGTGGGCTGTTAATCACCTCGGCGTATAATCAGCCAGTAAGTGCACATTAACCTCATGGGGATTTTTGGACTGATTAAACTTTAAAACTGACCAACACCCAAATCTCATTGTCTGTTATGTCACACCCAATTTTAAGGATAAATTGTTTATATAATTGTAAGATGTTCTCTGTAATTGTAAGGATGGTGGGTGGACAGTGTTTAAAAAGTGTAGAGACCTGAAGGTTTGATGGGAGTGGAGGGGTCGGGGCCCCGCTGAGTTGGGGTGTTGCCCCTTTACCACCTGCAGAACACACACTTGCACACACTTTCATTTTTGATCGCTGCCTCACCTGCTGTCTTGCAGAGAGTTAGGTAAGAAAATTGTTCAAACTTTTACTGCTTACAGTGTAAACATCAAGCTACACGCAACCAGAGGTGCTGTAAGGAGAGACAAATAAAACATTCATGTTATAATTAAAGCTCCAGTAGGGAACTTATCACTTGTGTTCATTTTGGCGCCCCCTGTGGACAAAGCAGCCTTTACTTATCTTGTCAACTACATGCTTTTGGATGTCATTAAAATGCATCAATACAAATTTAGTTTTTTTATGACTTAAAAAAGGAACTCCCTATAGAAGCTTTAAACATGATGACAATTTTATCCCACCAGCAGCTGGTCTGATGATGGAAAAGCATCAAATCATCTGGTCAGAAAGACACAGATAAAATCCATTTAAAAACATCAACTTGTGCATGGTATTTTGATTTTTGCTGGTTTTGACACAGAAAACAATTAACAAAGATGCCTCCCCATTACCTGCAAAAGTATATCACCTGCAATAAAATTAAAACTATGTCTATGTCGTTACTTTTTATGACTGCAGCTACTGCCTTGGGATAGGTGTCAAACCAAGTAATGAACACAGAGTTGCAGAAACAGTTCTTTTTAGCGTTTGTGCCATTGTTGATTCAGCAGTCGAGGAAAGACAGAAAACGCGAGGAGCAGAGTGTAGCAGAGGAATGTATCAATCAGATTTCATTTATAAAACACTTTTTGCACTCTCACCTCCAGATTCTTATATGAAGTATAAAAAAAAGTTATTCGTCTACCGCAAGACAAGGGAGTGAAAAAACTCCTGAAACTCCAAAGTCTCTGAATTTATTCAAATCCATGATAAATTCCATCACATCCAGGCTTCAGGAGTGCAAATGTTTTATCTAACTGCAAACGTTTGACTAATATTGTAAATTCTTTGAACTAATTTTGAAAATTCTGTTATTCTTTGTATTCTATATGATTGACGTGATTATGTAGCAAATAGGTTCAGGAACACTTTTTATCTCTGGGCCACCAGGCTGTGAAACAACAATATGTGCAATACATGAATGATGTGTGGATGAGAGGAGGGTTAAGTTTTCTTTTAGGATGGTATATTTAATTATTTCAAGTTTTTGAGTAGGCCGTATTATAGTGTTTTTATACTATGTGCATTTATAATTATTGTTTATTGCTTTTGTTACACATTGGGAAGAGCATCCTAAACTAATTTCGTTGTAACTTGGTGTACAATGACAATAACGTCTGAATCTGAATCTGTATTGAAACTGTATGTGCTGCCATTCTTGACCAAGAGATCCTGGATCTCAGTGGACAAACCTGGTTAAATAAAGGTTATAATAATAAAAATAGTAATAAAAACTGCCAAAATAGAGGCATTGAATGAGGCAATAAAATAGTGAAAGATGATTCTTGACGGATTAAAATTGTGTTTTTGTTGATCAATGCAGAGACTTTAAATTCAATGTTATGTGACCTTTCTCTTGGGTCTTCATCACCATTCTTGCAGCGGAATTTTGCAGCAGCTGAAGCCAGGAGATGTTGTTTTAAGAAGAGAAGATGGACAGGCATCACAGTAGTCAATTCTGCATGTAATATAAAACATGACCTAGCACCTTACTTTTCAGGTGATAATATGCTTCTTTGGCTCAAAAACTAAAGACTGAATCAAAACTTTCTCTGAGCCCCAGTACCAGTGACTAACTCGAGTTGTTGCAGAAGTAGCTGCTCTCATAAACTGTGTCGATAATTATAGTGTTGCGTCTTTGTGCTGTTGTGCTTTTGTCGTGAGTTCTTGACTGACAGACTGAAAAGGAAGAGAAGGTAATGGCATTGTTTGAAATGTGGCGGTTTATCCACTCTTCTTACCGGCCCATACAGGCAGGTGTAACATGATGTCTGTTTGGATTTGAATCTCACTGACTCAGAGGTAACGTCAGAGGGAGTTTTACCGGTCACTTCCCTTTGCCTCTGCTGAACACGTACACTGAGCGTCTTGTTCAGTGGAGCACGCCTTTTCATATGAACTTGCAAGGTGTCGACATATATCAGAAAAATCTCTGGTACACTTTTGCATTTTTAGCATGTGATAATAAGGGCCTCCATATCAGTTTACCCTGACCCTTCTGGAGTCTACCTGTTGAATCATATTGTCCCGTCCAGTAACGCTCAAACTGAACCTGATCACCTTTTTATCCAAACAAAAGCAGCTGTGCATGATTCTGTTAAAGGTAGGCTTATAACTGTTGAGGGTACTTTTCAGACAATTCAGCATTTAAATATAAAATTAGTGGATAATAGCCCTCACTGACACATAACAGATCATGGTGACAGATGTGCAAATTTACAGTAACAGTCGTGTTCAACAGTGCTCAGCCTCCTCCGCATCAAACTAGATTGTATTCACATTAATGTCAACAGGAGTGCAGATAAGAGGGTGCTGCAGGCTGCTGGGTGGCATTGCAGAACCGGTCTTGGCACAAAGGAGTACTTAGGCTATCAAACGCTCCGCCGCCTTTATGGTAACACAATACAGTGAATTAAAGTCTGCTAGCTGACAGCTCAGACTGAAAAAAGAGGTCACGATAAGAACTTAAACATGTCTGTCCATACTTTGCAAGATAGTATTTTAATATTGTCTGTGAATGACCTTCCTCTCCTCCCAACACATCCAGCTTTTTCAAGTTTCAACAACTACCAAGAGGCTATTTGACAAGTCGCCGCTTTCAAAGCTGTTTTAAAAACTTATGTAACCCCCCTGTGCTGTAAAAAAAGACACTGAGTTTGTTGTCCCTTCTGTGTGATTCATTGGTTTTTGCTTCAGGGGAAGACTTATATTTGTATTTGCTCATGGAGCAGTTTCCTTCTTGGACAGGAAAGTCCGGTGCTGTCCTTTTTCTGTCCAGAGACACTCTTGAACCTCATTGTCCTAGCTGCCAAAAACCATTCACTGCTGCTTCTGCTGTTTTTTTTTAATCCACTCAGTCAGTTTATATTCAAATTGAGCTTAAAAAGTACAATGAAACAAATAAAAGTAACTCATCCAGGGCCACGCCTTTGCAGCGTCACCTGCTAGATGTGAGGTAAGTGAGACAGACTTCTCGTCAGACCAGCTGGCAGCAGATAAGAGAGCGAGAAGCCTGCTCTACAGGTCTGTCCAGAGCGCTGACAGCAGTGAGCTATAGCTGCAAACACACATCCGTTTTATCCTGTTTGTCTTCAGAGGGAAGAGCCCGGACCATTGAAAAAACGAACAAGTGAATGGACAGGTGGTTAGTGTGAATGAATGGAGACAGGTCCAAACCGTCATATTCAAATCCAAAGGCCACGCTGCTGCTTTTATTTATCTTGAAATAAGTGATTTGATTATTCCTTTATTGTGTGTTTGTGAGTGTCCCACTTCTTTAC